CTTATAACGAACTAGGGCTCAATATATATATATTATATATATATATATATACGAATAGGGCAAAAAAAAAATCTCTTAAAAAACAAAGTGCTTGGTGCCGCTTTCATTTTAACTTTATATTAATTTCACATTTACCAGACGAAGATAAAAAGTGAAACGGGCAATAATGCTCTATTACTAACTAAATAACAGTAGCCTAGCTGTTAAATAAAAGGCGTAAAATTAATTATTAATCCGTTAAATATTTTAATAAATCAATCAACTTTTACTTCTAACCGATAATTAAAATGATATAAAAAGGAAAATGTATATTCATGGTGATAATGTTTAAATTTTATTTATTTTCGTTTTCCTATTTTTAGGGTTCCATAACCAAAGGATAAAACGGAACCCTATTACTAAGACTCCGCTGTTTGTCTGTCTAGCTGTCCGTCTGTCACCAGGCTGTATCTCATGAACCGTGATAGTTAGACAGATTAAAATTTACAGATATATTTCTGTTGCCATATTAAGTGAGGCTTCCATACAACAGACATGATATTTTTGCCGTTTTATAGATAATACGCATAATGCGCACTTGGCCGTTTTTTACTCTTTAACAATACTGCGTACGATTTAATGACATATAACCTTCTAAAGAACAATACAACACTTTAACAAAACTAACTAGTGGATTTTAACGCAATTTATTTCTATTTCAAATACCTTTGACATATATTTTTCTCGGACTTGCACTTTTCTCGGACCGTGGCCGAATGCTTTGCAGCATTCGGCCACGGTCCGAGAAAAATCCATAAGTTAGTTTTATGAGAATATGTAACATGAATAAAACATGGCCCACAGCCATATTATTCGTATATAGTGGAATGCGTCGTCATCAATACAACAATACGCCGGTCTTTGATAAAAATGTGAAATTATGCTAATGGGTGTAGGCTTACTATGTTAACAAACCTAGGGTTCCGTAGCTGCTACATTAAATCATCAATGAATAAGGTAATATTATCGATCAATGCCCGTTCGCGGTAACACAGTGAATTGTTTATGACGAGCTTAGTCTCCGCAACTTGAAGCGCCTACAATTTCTTTTTTGTTCGTGCACAGTACGGATTAAGGAATGACGTGATGCTCGCCGTCTTGATATTGTACGCGCTCGATATGAGACCGTGAAGACTTCTTCGCGAATAAGGTTCAATTCTCGACAAACACGGGCGGTAACTGTAAATGAAATGGAAAAAGAAGTAAGAGACAGATACAGTTCGTCGAACCGAATTGTGTTCCTCTCCGAAGTAAACATCTAATAATTAAGCGGTGACTAAGTCTTACACCCTTCTTGCTTTTCGCTTATATCAAGCTTTATTTTTCGAGCATTCAAATAGAACTATTGAATATCGTTGAAATAAAACGACGCTGTAAGTTAAAAAAAATAGAGTGCAGAACTCTATTTTTTTTATATATGCTATGATATTTATGTTGAGAAAATCTTAGCGGTGAAACTATAATTATTTCGTTGCTTATCTAAACATTGACTACTTTTCCGAATCCTGAAACATATGCGGTACCATATATATCTGCGAAGAAATAATATTCGCTTAATTGCCGCTTAAGCCAAAACTAAAACGGGCCCCAGTGATAAAACAGTGATGACGAATGCTGTATTCTCTTTTATCGTATATGTACTTCTTAGGTATATTTTAATATGTATGTAGTAATATTTTATTTAATAGTAAAAGCAATTGTTTAGAATGTAATATTTAAATATAACTTTCGTATCATGTTATTTTAGTTTTTATCAATCATCAAATAAAGAAACTGTTCTTGAAATTTAATATTTTCTTAAAATTATATATGTAGATGTACACTAATTTAAATGTTATTCTACGTATTACAGTGGTATTATAGATTCACATTTAATAATAAATAAACTAATGCCGAAATTTTATTATTTAAATTTTTTAAATAAAGCTACTAAACACGCATACATATGAAGTTGGTTAAATTTAAAAACCGGCCAACTGCGAGTCGGACTCATGCACGAAGGGTCCCGTACCATTATTTAAAAAACCGGCATAAAATCATGTACGGGGGGACCCACTTAAATACTTTTTATCCTGCTTTTTAGTATTTTTCGTTATAGCGGCAACAGAAATACATCATCTGTAAATATTCCAACTGGTCTAACTATCACGGTTCATGAGATACAATCTGGTGACAGACATACAGACAGCGCAGTCTTAGTTATAGCGTCCCGTTTTACCCTTTGGCAGGGTTGGATTTGGAGGTCTGGAGGCTTCGGGGCAACAAAGGAGTGGGCCCCTTGGCCCTAAATTATTTTCCAAATAAAATGAACAAATTTTTCAGTCGAGTTTTGCAATAAATAATTTATTAATTTTAAAGTTTTTATAGTGCTAATCTCTGCACTTAAGATTAAACATTAAAACAAGTAGAAAAAGTACGAAAAGATTGTCGCCGCTGTGGGAATCGAACCCACGTCTTCGGCATTCGCGGCCTGATGCTCTAGCCACTGAGCTAAACGGCTGAGAGCCACAGTGACGAAAATCTTAACGCCTAATTTCTACATTGTTATTGAGCATTTGAAGCAGGATGATGAAGGATATAACAATAGTTGCGCCAAGCATTGCTTCAAATGCTAAATAACAATGTAGAAATTAGGCGTTAAGATTTTCGTACGAACGGATGTTTCGTTTACTTGTCTGAATTTGATTTTTTTCCGAAGTCTCTATAGTATAATCCCGAGGCCCCCACAAAAGAGGGGCTCTGGTGGAGGCCCCGGGGCTGTAGGCCCGGTTGCCCTCTCCTAAATCCGGTCCTACCCTTTGCTTACGGAACCCTAAAAAACATCCTGTATGTAATTTAGTCGCCAAATTATTTATCACAATATTGCTTATTCTGACTTAAAACAGTAGATATTAGATTTAAATAAAATTTTCCGTCACACTAACAGAATTTGAATATTTACAATTACCGAATATAAATATTGAATAATTAAGTGCGGCCGCTTCGTTACTGTAACCCGTTATCGAATATTGAGAGTCAAGATGCGGACATTTGAGGATTGGCTCTCTCTGCTTATTACTAATACACACTCAATTGTAAATATTGATTTTTCTACATATAAAAACTACGTTATTTTCTTTGTGTGTACTCGAACTTGATAGGCCCAATGGTAAAGTCCGAAATAAATTTAACCCTCTATAACATAGATTATATTATGCAATTAAGTTATAGATGCTGAAGGTTTGACATCGATATGTACCGTACACATGTAAACAGTTCTTGGACCTAAGCCAATCCCTTCAGTCTGTCGAGTACCTTCACAGCTCAATCTGAAAACGTTAAGTAAAGCTTTACCAGTGAAATGGAAACATTACGCTCTGTTTGATTGAGTACATAAATACAAGGTCCTCAAATAAAATGACGACATCTTTTAACGCAACTATTGCAAACTAAAAAAATCTTTCAGAGACACATATAAAGTCGTATAAAGTAAAGTAAGGGCGTAGCTTTGACTAATAATTATGCATTATCAATATTTGCACAATAAAAAACGTACAGTCTTTCCTAAAATAATTGTATGCTCTATATAAACTGTGTAATAAAATAATTCTCGGGTCTGAAGAAAAATGATGGAAAGGTTTTCGCCGTTGCGGGAATCGAACTCACGTATTTCGAATTCACTCAAGCATTGCTTAAAATATGAAAACGCGAAACATTTTGCCAGCGTGGCAAATCAGCCCAACGGATTAGTGGTTAAAGCGTCTGGGTGCGAATCCAAAAGACGTGGATTCGATTCCGAAAGCGGCGAAATATATTTCGTCAATATTTTCTAAATATTTTAATGTTTAAATCACCCTGCAACTTATACTAAGTTGATCCAAGATGTACCTTATATTAAACGCCGTTTTTCAGTAAATAAAACTTAATTACAATAAAGAGTTACTCCATTCAACATTAAGTTGAACATTGAGTGATGTTTTAATAGCATATTTTATGGTATGTCTTATCATGAATTTAATTCAAACTTCTATCATTGGCGGTTGAAAACAAATTGGAAGCACTTGAAATACGAAACATTGAAATGAAAACGGTACAATAACCTTTGAGACCTCATTATATAAGTAAGGACTTAAGAAGTCGTTAGTTACAACAGATCACAACCTATTCACCTACATTCCTTAGATCATTCGCTGCTTCCTGCTGTGAACATTCCCAACCCAACATGCATATTATCAATTTCTTTTTATTAAAACCTTACGAACATAGCTAAGAAATAAGTAATTATAATCTTTTCTTCTCTGCGAAATTACTTATAAAAAAAACATCGTTTTCCCTTTCTTGGGCTTGATGGACGTAGAATGGCTATTGGGCATCAACTTCGCCCTTTGTTATGCTGAGGACATTAATCATTTATTACATTTATTTTCAACTTTTTGCTGATGCCCACTATAAATATTTAAGAATAAAATGTGTCAAATAATAGTTTTATGGAATGATATGGTTCAAAAGAAGAGCTGCAGTGATATAGATTTTAATGATAGTTAATTCCGCTAACAAATATTTCTTATATCATATAAAACTGAAAATAAAAAAGCAAGATTTTGTTTTCTCATCCTATTTTCATATGGTAATGTTTTAAAATAATTCTATCATTGCACATATGATAATAGCTTGTAATTTGTGTGTCTGTACTAAAATTTATTTAGTTTAAACTTATAATGTTTTATTTTTTTGCTCATTTTTATTTTTTAATACAATGACAGCAGATCAAATCACGACAATTATGTGAAAATTAAAAAAAATATATCTTAAGCCCTATTCAAAAACAGTACAAGAACAGTAATATTAACAGACCGGCCATACAATTAAGTAATTAACTAACTAATTGCAACACATACAATTAGTACGTCCTTGGCAATGATTTAGGAACTACCTGCAGCCGCAGTGTTTTAACTACATATTGCTTAACCCATATCACTCACCTTCGACATAATCGTAAGGATAAACTTTGTCCTCTATAACACTTAGCCGTCGTTCTCACTCTGCCATTGTGTGGAAGGCCCGATGAGATTTATTTGGAGGAAAGGAAATCCTAATGAACACTGTGTGACCGCGGGAATCTTCGTATTACATTTTCGAGACGCCTTTTCGCGGCGGAGGCCCGATCAATACTGGGCACGTCGCTGCCGGCGGATAAGGCAAAGAGCGGCGTTACGCTACGCGTGCGCGCGCAAACTGTTGTTGACTGAAGCGCATGTGTAATGCGATCTGATGCCACGACTGGCCCGGCCCCTAGCCTGGCCTGTGGCCATAATACCACTGTGCACTGCAGACGAGGTCACTAGTTGCGAACTGCACTAAATGATTTCTAAGACTTGAATCATTGACAGCAACAATCAACAATTCCACCGCAAAACGCGCCAACGTTAATACAGACCACATTAGTCTATAGGGTTACGAAACGTAGCTCCCGTTACATCTTGAGTAACGCACGCCAGTAAACTATATTCGCAAATAAGTAGTCATTAGAAAGGGGTTCACTTTTCTTATCATGGTTGATTAATTCCTATACAATGCCAAGTGGCCGAGCTGAGGGGGCACGAATACTGTATCGTTCCTTTTTATGTCCACCTAGCCCTAACATAACTAACGGAAAGTGCTTCGGATTTATTAAATGAAGAAGCGACCACGGATCACTAAATAATTTATTTTACTAGACCGTGGAAGCGACCATGTGAGTATAAACATAAAAGTGTACAGTTCACTTCAGATAATTTTTCATTTGATAATTTTTCATATAAAATTATCAGGGACTTCATTAAAGATCATAAATTAGATTTTATTAAATATGTTTTCAACCATATTGTATTCAGGTTTCAGGGTTAATGTAACGTAACTAGTGAAAGTGCATTTGTTTCAGAGGGAACATAAATGTAATGTAAAACTGTACTTCATTGTAATACTGTGCCAGGATCGTAGTTATTAATTAAATAAATTTTAACTACGGATTGCAAGTTTGCAATTGCTTTATGCTTTATTTAAAACTTACAAAATTAAGACCACTAGATGGCATCATAGTCCAACTCGTAAATAAAAATTGCGCCATTGTTGCACGCTTCTTATCTCCTTCTGCATTTTAGCCGCATTTGCGAAATTAGTTCCAACCATCAAATATCATATAAAGAAAAGTAATATTTACACAAAATATGATATTATATGTAAATATTACTTTACATTTATATACGTCCCATTAATTTCCGCTTAAGTGTCACGAGATTTTAGGTGACACTTACAAGACTCCTGAGTCCTGACGCTACGCGAATTCTTCAAAGAGCTAATCAAGTCGTTCATGGTAAGAACTGAAAACCATTCCGAACGGTAAACGCAGCCAATTACTTACCTGACATTTACCCCACCGCTTACAAACGTTGCCTGCGCAACGTCCTCATGAACCCGTTCGAGGATACACTATATCCACACATACTGCTAGCATACATTACCAAATAGTTCTTCCACGCTTAAAATCATGGCAAAACCAACATAACGTGTTCACAGGGTACACCCGTACCCAGTCCAGAGCGGTTCTTGCCACTCTTGGCCCACGATTAATAGAAGTCGCTCCGTACCAATTCATAAGTGACAAATTCAAATTCAAATTTCAAAATATCTTTATGCAAATATATCTTGCGCGTTCTTATGAATCGTCGAATTTTACATTAAAATTAATACACACGTTCGTAAATAAGTTACCACCGATTCGAAAAGAAGTTTCTGTTCACAAGAAACCAGCAAAAAAACTCAACAGTTGCTCTTTTTAAAAATATTAGTTTACATTATCAGATGATGCGCCCTCATTGGATAATGCGCGCAGGTACTAACACTCGACTCAGCCCCGTAGGATCTAGTCCAGCCATACCATGTCTGAGAGCAAAAACATCTGTTAAAGTTAACTAAGATGATGTGGCGGACGAAGGCCTTCAGAGGCCCAATGCTTTAAAGCTGAATGCGGCCGCTAGCTCAAGGAATTGATCTAATTAAACAAGCTTTTTATTCACTTCACATTTGTATATATAAGTATTTATGATTATTTAGTTAAAATCTTGCAAGTGAAATTTAAATTGGACTTAAATATATATACACAGAATCCAGAGATGGATGAGGAAAATAAAATACGAATCGATTTTCAAAAAAAGAACTAAATAGTAAAAATAGAGTAATAGGTTTCTGGAACTAGAATAATATAAACATTATAAAGATTAGCAGCAGTGGTGTAGATTGCCTTAGACGAATGAATTTTTTTTTTGAATTTTTTGAAAAATTTATTTATTAAATCATCCATAGCGAACGATTTCACTTTTTCTAGAATTTAGGTCGCTATATAAACGAGTGAATTATCTGTTATCCGTTCCTGTCCCATAGAAATCTTAAGATTTATTGGTTTTAATTCCGAATAACTAATTTTCATCTGTTGCCAGAAGGGCTAAAAAAAGAAAACATGCTGAAAGCATCTCAGGAAAACGACGCAAGGCTATTGAATTCTATCCGAAATAAGGGTTTTAACACGTTTTATAATAAATTGTTCATACAGATCAACTGACGTGTGGTGACTGTTTTAGCAGACAGTTGTGTTTTTCTTCATATTTTTATTATTTTGTGAAAGGAATGCTTAGCAAAATATTAACGTTCTATAAGTCATTATTTTCATGATGTAGTATTGATGATTTCTAACAGTAAAGAAAAAAAGACGACCAACATTATTAATGAATTCTGTGCGTGTTAATCATATTTTTACAATCGTTACGTTCACCTTTTTTGTGGAAATTAATTTAGTTGCTAGAAAATTTTCATTATTAATGAATAATTTTTCCTTAAAGCGTCGTTTCTCGAACATTTTCTAGCGGGACAAACTTTGAGCGGACAAGCAGCGTGGTGCATGCGCAGCATCGACTTATATGTATATTTAGCTGCCCACTATCGCTATATTCTTGAAGCGCTGCGCACCCCAATCTATTAATGGTAGGTGCCGTCACCTACAGACCTTACCGCTAGGTTCGTCCCGCTAATGGCACAGACTGCGCGACACGTTCACGATCTCCCTGACGATGAGACTACTATTTCCATCGACAGGATAAAATAATTACGCATCACATAAAAACACAACTTGCCGGCGAGTGCGCCAAACATAGGTTCCGCCACGTACCTGGCAGGTTTTCCCCCGTTAATGAAAAAAGAGTTGCTGGAGTTTCTTACACTTCTCCCAGCGCCAACGCTTACCGAAATCGTAGTAAGGATAGCTTTAGAAATTCTTCCAGTCAGACTACAGCGACTGATCGAGCCGAAGTCCGGCCCTCTCGGGCACCCTTGAATCGGAATGCCAAACGGGTACTCAGTAACAGCTCAAGCCCAAGGTCCCGTCTCGGGGGCCCTTGAGCCTAATTAATCCATGGAGTGAAATTTATTTAGGAGTAAATGTGTGGCTTAATTATCTTAATAAAGGAGCTTCTGGTAATTTCTGTACTCTGAGGGAAAATTTACATACTTCACACGCGAAGGCGGTTAATATTTTATTTATAAGAGCCTCCTGTTGTACCGGAGTTCAATATTTAATATGGCACCACATAGGAACTAACCGAATCCAATGCAAAAATAACTGGAAAATCGGTTGTTAAATGACGGAGTTCTATGATAACAGACAAAAAATACAACTGAATTCAAAACATCCTTCTAAAAACTGAAGCAAAGAGTACTTTATTAATAATGAGAAGGAAGTGAACTGAAATTTGTAGATTTGAATTATTTTTTTTGAAACTTCTACAAAATGATACTTTAAATACATTACTTCAATAAGTCAAACACGTATATTGACAAAACAAAGAACATTTGTATATAAGAAGGTGGTTATTGCGGTTTATTACCCCAGTTTAGGTAATCGAAATACTCAGATACTTTGTAGTTAGGATTTATTTGTTCTATTCACACTTAATATAAAAAAGTGTGTGTATACTTATGTGCACGCGTTAGTAGTTATACTTCTTTGGCGTAACAAGATAAAATCTTTTCAAAAAATTTTATCTTTCGCCCTATTCTACGTTTGTAGAAAAAGCGACACTAACAATAGAAAAAAGGTATTTAATACATTGAAAGTTTTATAATAACGCATTATCTAGTTAAATAAAGTTTATTTAAATATCACAAAATAAATATCGTGAACACAGTTGTCATTTCTTACGCAAACATACGTAGATGTCTAACTAACTTCAAGGTGTCGGTTTTTCGTGACGGTGTGCGCGCGCATCATAAAAATTTACTCTCATCATTTCCAAAATCTTGTTGGCGATGATTGGAGGTGCGGTGTTATTCTTAATTGTTACTCCCATTGCCTTGCGCACATTGTAGCGTTATTAATTATGGCACTTGACAAGAGTCATTTCAATATCAGCTACCACCTGCACCAAGCTATAAATAATATTTTGTAAAAACTTTGCCTGCTTTCGAAAAAGTACAACATTGCTTTGCGTGCATTGTAGCATCACACATTATGGAACTTGATAGGCGTGATTTGAATGACAGGTGCCACCCGCACCAAGTTAAAGCGTACATAGTATACCTTACCTGCTATCGAAATTAATCTTTTGGCATAAAAACCTGGCTTCAAAAATAATTAATGATTTCAGCAAATAATGTATAAGCAAATATTTACCAATAACTTTGGAAATACACATATATAACTTCACATTTTTTTTGCTTCAAGCCAGGCAATTTTTAAATAAAGTTGCAGCTAGGTTTTTCTTTTATAGCAAATGTAGTCAATTCACATAAATGAATTAGTATAGATCGCGGTATGTTAGTTAAATGAAGGCTGTTCAACCAAGCCAATGACGACTAATGCCGGAGTTCCTCAGGGGTTCCTCCTTTCGCTTATCTTGCTGCATATCAACGATCTCCTCATGCCCGGTATCAGTTGCAGACAGCAGAGTTGTGGAGAGATACCAACTGAATCTTCGGGTTGGTAGAGATCTCATCCATTTCGAAAGACGTAGGCTATAGTAGAGCGTTTGAATCATACATTGCAGGCGGTATCTGAATATTGTAAAATTAAACGCCTCCAAAACGCAGGAGGTCTTTTTACCGCATAAAGGAGCCCTATCACCTTGGTTCCTACTTTTCGGATTGTGTCCTTGGAATAATCCAACCACCTTCAGTTATTGGGCTTCGAAATATCCTTCGGTTCATTAAGTCTAAAGACAAGGCTTGCAAAGATGCGACGGTACTTCGCTACGGGACAGCTTCTTCCTCTTTACAAAGCTCAAGTCCAATCGTGTGCGGAGTACTGCTGCCATATCTGGGCTGGGGCTGCAAAATACCATCTGGCTGCTTGACTCAATGAAGAGACGTGCAGAAAGGGTCTTTGGTGACCGTTACTTGGATATTGAATAGCCAGCTACAGGCCTCTCGGTTTTCTACAAGATGCATTTTGGAGAGTGTGAGTTTTCATCATATGACAACTAATCGTTCGACGGGGCTGCATCCTGATGCTGTCGACGTTCGACGCAAAAGAACGAAACGATTTTCTTCGACATTCAACATACAGCTAAGGAATGTAACAACCTGCCGGCGTCCGTCTTTCCGTCCGATTACAACGTAGGCATCTTCAAGGCAAGACGTATTAATTGGTTTTTACTGATCGAGCGCGCTTACAATCAATGGCTGCATCGCCACTTACCATCAGGTGGGATGGAAGTCAAGCGATGGCCATTTTCGAATAAAAAAAATATATAATATAAAATATATAATATTTACTGCTTACAGTTGGACACTTGCGGATGTTCCCGCGTATAAAATTGTCCTCCTTATCTCAACACTTTAAGGAAAATGGAAAGATCATTCAGTAGATTACTGCCGGTATCCATGCTAATAAACAAAATTAAAAAAAGGAAAACTGTCAACGTGACAGTAACAATGCCAATATTTTGATTTGACGATATTCCATAAATGATATGAAATTATGATAGTTCTACTTCTAGTCTTCTACTCGTTGTTTCGATAAAACGAAATAATTAGTTGTGAATCATTAATCATTCTTCAATAATTAGTTGTGAATGAGGCTAAAAAATAATGATAATTTAACGAATACACCTAGACCTATATATATATCATTGTAACAATGAGTACATTAACGGTCCAAGATATTTTTACTTTCGGGGCAAATAAAGCAAGCAACAAGAAAGTGGAGAAAGATGCTATCATACCGTTTACAATCGTGCCAATTTTATTTTTATTGGCTACCTTATCACGGACTATTACAATAATTACTATGATAGTTATTGGAATGGCGGCATTGTATGTTCAGTCGAGACCTCGCCAAAAGAACAGGTAAAATTGAAATCGTACAAAATGAAAATAGTATTAACAAATTATATATCCAGCATATGTTTATTAAATTAAGATATAAAGTCTATAATTTTATAAAATAACAACTAAGTAGTGCTACACACTATAGGGTAACTTTTTACATTACTGAATTCTACTTTTTTCTTTAAAAACTATTTTTGGTAAAATTTTCCGGCCTTGCTTTAGTATACCGTTGCCTTCATGACTACTTTTTTATAACCACCCAGAAAGAGAGCCCCACTTAGCAGTGCTAAAGAAGAGTCTCTGGGAGGAGAATTCTCCAGTTGCTTGTATTTAATAAAAAAAGTAACAGTGAAGCAAGGCCCTGTTAAGCTATAATAAAAGTGTTAAATTCAAAATTCTTCCTTTGTTTAACCTATTCAAAATCTATCTTGGGTTGGGTATTGAAACAAGTCGCCCGAATTCAAGTACACTGTAAGTTTGGGGGGGTAAGGAGGTCGTACCAAGCACTCGTAACACATTTTTTTCTGCTGAAAAAAATTTAATTTGCTATTTTTTAAAATTTAAAAATGTTACGAAACGTGAAATGGAACGTAATTTTGATAAATTTCAGTGTTCGAAGATGCGAATAATAAAAAAAATTTAAATGATAGAGAAAAATCACTAATGAATTAATCAACAAGCAGAAGTCTCCGGTCGCATTCAGTTTACGACAAAAAAATATTTGAAACTTGTTATTTTTACTAAGAAAGTACGCACATTTTATTAATTTCAATAAAACTGCATACACAGTACAGTACTTTCATACAAATAAATATATGAAGTGGGAGACTTCATACTCGTACCATTTGTTTGATCACATTTTTTTTAAATTAAATAAGTTGCTGATCCAACACAGAGCAATCCGACTCGGATAGATTAGGTTAGAAGGTTCGGGCCGGAGCAGAGCTCCCGCCTTAACCTTCGTGGTTATTTTTTTATAACCATCCATTAACTCTTCTGTGTTGTCTTGTTAAGTGTGGTTAAGAACAAAAGGCAGGAGGGGAACCCTCCCATTCTTATTAGATTTCTTGACATTCTTATTACATTCTATTAAATAAATCAATTTAAAAATTGTTTAATAAAAAACTATGTTTCTCCGGCGGGGGGGGGGGGGGGGGGGGCAAGTGGAAGGTGACTCACCATATCACCCCCTCCCCACCCCCGGAACCCCTACTCGTTTCAAAATTTCACCCTCTATCTTTAACTTACTTTTTTGTAGATCACCATTCTTTTTTTCATGGACTTTATCATCTGGAGTTTGGATGTTTCTTGTGTTTGAAATTGCAGTTCTGAGATTGCTTGAAATAACTCAATTGGAACACTTCATATTTTTAATACTGTTGACTTTCACATGTTATTTCTTTTACAAAATGAAAGCAATTGCTGATTTTGATACAAAAGGAAAAGAATACAGGTATTTATCAATTTCTGTTTTATAATAAGTATTATGTGTTTTTCCAGTAACAAAATTTACGGTTTGCATTTGTATTACTCATATAAATTTAATGTTACATGAGTTATGTTTACAATGCATCTTACAATAACTATGATTAAGATATCTTTGTCCAGTCTCTTTGCTTTTAAATAAAACGTATTATACGGTACTTTTATTTATAATATAAAAAAATTATTAATGTGGTCAACCATCTATTTATGACCTCACATTTAAGTGACATGTTAGCTGATAGCCCAACAAAAGAATTTTGAAATCGAAAAGTAAAGAAGACAAAAAATAAGGAAATATGATATCAAAAATTGCTTGCCATTGCAATCAGATTACTGCAACAAAGTTTATTGAAAAGCAGAAGTAAACATCTTACTGCCTTTTGCCTCCAAATTAAGATTTACGTAAGTGTCTGTTAGTGGTGCTCATGATATGAAACAGAAAATAATGTTTTTAGTGTAAAAAAAAAATCTATACTGGTAGATTTTTTGAGAAGTGCCCAAATTTACACAGGAGGTTCAGACTCGGTAGTATAATCGTTTATTGAAATAAAAAACTAAGTTTTTTTTGCCTCCACATTGTTAATGTGTAATAAATATCATAAATCCTATTATTTCGTCACTTACAACGATTGCATTGATTTTATTTTTGCAACTAACCATAATCTAAAAGCAATCATGTTATAAATAAGACTCCATTAAGCATTTTATGATTTCTTTTCTTTCATGTTCAAAAAACTATTTTTACAGCCCAGTACTGACATCTGACTCACATTACTGTCAAATCTGTCAAATTGAAGTAAATGATAGATTCTTCCACTCCATTTGGTAAGTCTTTGTTGTCTCAACTAAGTCAAAATTAGTTGAGAAAGATAAACAATATGTTTTCTAAAAAAAAATTTCCAACAGGTGGAACTGTTGTGTTCTTAGGCAGAATTATATATATTTCCTGGTTGGGCAATTTTTTGCATTTGCAACAATACTTTATGGAACCAATTTGGGTCTAACAACAGTTTGCCAACCATTTTTACTTTATGGTACAATCCTTTTACCTGAAGACTGTGAAGATGTCTATTTTGAATTTCAGTAAGTATGTGAGCTCATATTTCAGCATAAAATGGCAGGAATAACAATAATAACAATATGAATAATAAAGTGAAAGCCGAAACAAATAAGACGAGAAAATATCTGGACTTGGCTCACGAGGTGACCGACATGTGGGGGTGTTTGCCGACCGAAATTATCACGATATTCGTTTTTGCGAATGGGTTAATCCGAGTCAGCCTCTCCGAACATCTGAGGCGAATGGGACTACAAGACGGACCGCTCTGATCTCAAATGCAGAAGGCGGTGCTCCTCGATACCGCCCGCATCGTCCGCCGTTCAAAAAATAATATTTTATAATTTGCTTAAAATGCGAAAATAAAAGTGTGTGTAGTGTGTACACTTATGTACACGCGTTAGAAGTTATGCTGCTTTGGCGTAAAAGGATAAAATTCTTCGCCTTATTGTACGTTTGTAGAAAAAACGATACTAACAATAGAAATAAGGTATTTAATATATTGAAAGTTTTATTATAACGCATTATCTAGTTAAATAATGTTTATTTAAATATCACAAAATAAATATCGTGAATAGAAAGAAGAAAGAAAGAGTCGGTCGGAAAGAAAAGTCGGTTCTTCGTGACGGTGTGCGCGCGCATCGCGCAATGTACTCTCATCATTTTTTCCTAAAGCGCCAAAAGAAGTATAACCTCAAAAACAATATAGATATAATACTTTGAGATTTTTGTTGGTCTGGCAATCGGTCGTTTAGCTTAGTGGTTAAATCGTCTGGTCTCGAATCCGGCAGACGTGGATTGGATTCCCGCAGCAGGAAAAAAACTTTTCGATCATTATTTTCTACAAATGTTGATGTTTCATCTTAAGTGTAGATATTAGCATTATTAAAATTAAAATTTAAAATAGCAGTGGGAGATCTCTCGTTAGAATTTCTGTTGTAAAACTATATTTGAAATTGATTGTCTACTGTAACGGATTTACCAATAGATATGTCAAGCATATCTTAAAATGCGAAAAAACTATGGAGATAAATAAGTTGAGATTTTTTGATTGCCACACCGACAAAAATCTGTTTAGCTTTGTGGTAAAGCGTTTGGGCACGAATCCGGAAGGCGTGGCTTCGGTCTTCGGCTTTTCGTCCATTTTTTCTACAAATATTAATTGAAAATCATGATTCCTTATTCTTATTCTAAAATGGTCCTATCTTAAAAGGCTGATGATTATAATTAATTAGTAACATTTTTGTTTTAGGTTGGCTATATCTTTTGTGGCTTGTGTATATGGTTTGGGATACTTGGGCATTATTGGCTTTCTATTGATTCGTCACATATTTGTATTTGTGCCTAAATATTTCGGTAAGTGTAAGTTATATGTAAACCTAATATTTTTTATATTCCACATTCTATATATTTAAAATTCTTAAAATAATACACTTTAACATTTACGTTGTATTTTTTTTACATTAGTTTACATTTTTTTTAGCACCACAATGGAAAAAAATAATAAATGTCACCATATGACGTTATTTTAATTCAAGGAAAATTATATGGAAATTGAATATTTAATTGTGATTTTTTCTAAATAATATATCATAATCCCACTCAGACAGGCCCTCACTAACAGTTATTAACAAATGAATAAACCCATGGAAAAGTGTAAAGAATTTGCATAATAGAGTAGGAACAGGTATTTGCGACAAAAAAATCTTTTACCTAAAAATCTGTTTACCTCTTCAACCACAGGAGGAGTCGCGTTGAACTCTAAAATAACTAATATAACTAGCTGTGTTAACGCCGGTATTTGGATTTTAGAAAAATACGTCACACCCCAATCTATCACAGTATCTCTACTGAGTCTTGTACGCCATATTTCCTTCCATTCGGTCGTTTCTTTGTTGTCTACTACCGCTTTAAAATGTATACCTTAAAACTGTATATTATATGCTGTACTGAGGTAATCTGTCGCGCACAGTCCTGCCTCAAATTGGTCCTTCGTTGTCAAATTTTGAACACAGTGAGCTTGGAATTTTCATGATTTGTCAAATTTAAATTTACTTCGTAATTTTTTGTATTCCGTAATCCGTAGCGTAAGGGCACTTCGTATAATTGTTGTTTAGTTAAGATTATTTGTTTTAAGTATCTATGTTTGGTAGTATACATAAGTACCTATGCAAATAATAAATACCCACTTATTTATTTTTGAAGTTAATTATTTTTGCGCTTTTGGGAAAAATTATAAGAATGAACTTGACACCTAAAAGCAACACCATGAAGCTGGTTGCGAATAGACATCAACTTCATAGTGTCACCATGGCAACCAATATATTGGTATTGTTAATCGAGGCCAACAGTTAAGGGATTTTTTATCGGAAAATATCGTTATTTTTTGTTGTATTAATTTTTTTTTTTTTCAGAAAAGAGTATTTTTAATTCATTGATCTCTTTAAATTAAACTATAATAGTGAATTAATCTCCCATTTATTAACTACATACTTTACGTTTGAGTTTTCTTCACAGTTAAAAATTAATTAATGAATGAAATATGCTTTATTGTACACCAGACAAAACTAAAACAGTATAAAAGTAACTACTAATAAAGCTGGTGATCATCATCCAAATTCTATGAAGAAATAAACACATTTCGTTTTGCAAAAAATGTATAGTGAAGTTTTTATTTCTAAATAACTTAGATTTAATTAATTAAGTCCAGTGATGTGTTCCAAAAATGATAATAATTAATTAATATCGATCCCAATAGTGTCAAAATTTTAAACATTTTGATGAAGTAAGCATAATTATATGAATTGGCAACTAATAATCCTTAAAACAAAGACTAATATAGTAATTGACAAAGCGATTAACATTATTATCAACGAAAACTTGTTAGATAATAAATTCTCAAATTACTTGACGTTGTAGGCATCTACAATTAATTACTTCTCGTATCAACTATTCATCTGGAGGGTTATAATCAGGCACAACTTGTAAAACTTTTTTCCGCCATCTTAGTTTCCTCATCTCTTGTTCTCTCTTTAATGCATTAAGTGCCGGTAATGTTCTCCAGCAGGTAAATGCTTTGAACAGCACACAACTGCAATTTAATAATTATAATGTAATATTTTCGTTTTATTGTGTTTAAATTTTAAACAATTTTAGTGCTTAAAATAACTCATTTATAAAAATTAAGTAAAAAAAAGTAAAGTAACAGGCTACAATATATATCCCACTGTTGCGCAATGGCCTCCTCTGTACAAAGGGTCTGAGGACGTTTAAAAATACATTAAAAATATATCTACCCATTATGATACAACACTGCCTTATTCCATTTTATTTTATTTTCTTTTCGTATTATTTGTATTCCTTCCCCAAATTTTCTGAATACTAATTGTGTTAGAAATAAATCGTAATAATCTTCAGCCACTTGCATTTTCAACTTATATTCATGGTAATTCTGAAACAAAGGAACGCTTAACATACAAATACATAAGTATTATCTCATATTACTGAGAAAATCCCAGACCAAATTGCGAACTTATTCATTTAGTACAACGGGTAATTCACAATACATTCCGCTAACTGAAGTAGGTACATTATTTGGTGAATGAAATACGCATTAACAGGAATGCACATATTTATTTTAGTTTTCTGTATGGTTATTTTATTCAACTGAACGCAATCAATCAGCACGTAGCGTAGAAATAATTATAATGGATATTTTTTACACATATCGGTGTGTCGGGATGAATCTTTTATCGCCAAGCACGGTAAATCTTCATCAAAATTTGAACGTAAAGTTTTATTGGTGGCTTAGTTTTATTGAACTTATTACTAATATCTCATAATTAGCTCTGATTACAAAAACTAAATAAGTAGTAAAATATTATATATACGTAAACGTAAAATATTATCTAATCAGGTAAGAGAAATAAAACTAGAATAATTTCACGACAAATTTTTAAGCCATACCTGTTTGAAGCTATTAAAAGCCCTGCCCAGTATTTTCTTTCTATACAAGACGTCCGCTTTGTAATTTCTCTCATACCACATATCCTCCGTATGCCACATCCAATGCAAAAATACATTTTTCTTAAGTTGAAATAAGTAATGCGATTTCGCTTTTTCTATATTGTCCCGTTTGATTTGTACTAGCCTCTTCAATGGATTTATCCCATATTTTGTCATTAAATTCCTTTCGTAATGTAACTCTGCCATCACTGCGAGAGCTCTCATTCTTTCATAGTGTTGTTTTTTTCTGATGTTCTCAATTTTTTCCCTTTTCCTTTTCTCTCTTAATTCTTTCATTCTTTTTGTCTTCTCCTCCTTGTCCATTTCAAGTTTGGCTAATTCAGACTGTAAGAAAAGAATAAAATACAAATTTGAAAATTAAAGAATAAATTGTTTGGTTATATATTTTAGTGTATTTCAACTGAAAATCGAACTCGTGTCCGTGAAGTGTGTTATCATTAAATTTATAAACCTGTATATGTTGTAGACAAAATCCTTACTAATATTATAAACGCGAAAGTTTGTTTGGATGGATGTTTATTACTCTTTTCACGCAAAAACTACTGAATAGATTTTAATGAAACTTTACAATAACATAGCTTATACGACAGAATAACAAATAAGCTATGTGTGAATTTTCCAACATATAGGTGTCCACTAAGTAGGAAACAATTCAGCCATCTGCGAGATATTCTGGTGTACAATAAAAATACTCATGTTAATTCCCTTTGGCCGCGAGGGTGAAGCGGCGTTTAACAGCTAGTGTGCAATAAAGCATACATTATCCGTGTATGCTTTATAGCTTGATTATTCTTGGATCTCGGGAAAGGTATGCTACCAAATCCAATTTTCACTTGGGTTTGTATGCGAAAGGTTTCTTGTCTTATTAGTGATGATTCCGTAAATATAAACGAGATCAGTCAGCAGCACTGTTGCAGTAGGTTCACGCCAAATGCCTTTGCTTAACTTCGCCGTCGTCTAAAAAATCGGCACGTAAGGAATATCTGTTTTTGGTTACGTTCTAGGTGAAATAGAACTTTCCAACCGGTTAGATCAACCACGCCCACGACACCTTGTTTTTTTATCTTCTTTTTTATGTGAAAAAGAGAAACGAGCTGGCACTTCACCTGATGTTAAGCTAATGATAACCGCCGCGCACAGACGTTGGCAACACTGGTTGCAAATGTGTTGCCACCTTTTAATATAATGTAGGCCTCGGCTACCTCACTCACCAGACAAAACGCAGAAGTGTAACACTTCTACTTTACGCCGGTCTTCTATGAGGTTCTGGTACTAACCCGGAGGGACCTGCCCATTCGTGCAACAGCGAATACTTTACGTGGTCCTACCACAGTCTTCTTCATCAATGATGATCGAGGCAAAAAAACAAAACAACAAACAAAAGCAAAAAAACAAACAAAGTTCAACAGATCCATCTTAAGATTGATGATCACTTTAAATGGTGACACCAATAAAAATCTTGACTGATGTGATTATTGTTTTTAAATGGAAACTTAGAATAAAATAGCTAACACTGTCCCTAATATAGTCTGAATGAGTACAACTGCATTTAGTCACCTGTTGTTTGACTCTGATTCTTTCTTCTTCCATTTGCCTGCGTCTTTCTCGTATCAATGCATGTTTTTCCTCTCGCTCCCGTGCCCGTTTTTCCATTCTTTGTATAAACTGTGGCACCTTTAAACAGTGCAGTACTAACGCAGGTTCTGAAATTTATATCAGGATTTAATTAAAGTAATATTGTTATATTACTGATTAAAATAATTTTATCCAGTCTTGTTGATTAGGCTGAAACCAAAAATTCCATATTAAGTTACCACATAACTTAGTCCTTACCAAGTCCTAGTTAAAGGTTTGTAACGTATCTTTTACTGTGGCAGGGCCACGTAGCAACTGTGGCTATTGCACGATGGGCATGGTCATCCGCGGAAGTACCATGGCCTCACACTCGATCGATATGAAGTGCAAGTATATATTTTAGCGTATCGTCTGCAAGAAAAACAAACTATCCGGGCACACTTTTTTAATGCAAGCATCGCATTTGCCATCAGTCACGTAGATGTTCATGAGGGTCATTGTAAATTTACATGAGCAGCGGTAATAACTTTACATCAATCCCTTGCTTGTTTGCTAACTTTTCACATTAAAAAAAAGTCTTAAACCCTACAGTGTCTGTGGGCGGTGGTGTGGTGACCACTTAATTTTACGTAAACTGCCTGCTTGCCTGCTTCTCACATAAAATGTAAACGTAATTTATAATAAACTTATAAATAACATATACCGTCTAATGCTCGTATCTTAAGTTCATTTGTTAAACATTTGATCTTTGGTTTGAGGTGTGGATCAATTTGATAGTAAGTTTTAGAAACGTTTTCTCGCAACGTCTCCAACGACTCTTTGGTTGATTCGATTATTTTATTATATTTGAGTTGTTCTATAATTTTAGTTTGTTCTTCCAGTTTCATCTTTTGAAGCGCAATGATATTTTGTTGAACTTTGTATCTGTGAATATACAAGTTATATAAATTAATAAAAAATAAAGCATTTTGGTCTATTATTTTTGTCTAAGAATCAACTCTTGGCTACGAACGAAATATGAGTTTTGTAACTTAATTAAGGAGATGGGCGTGAAATAGATTCATTTTACCTATATTTTAAATAGGCATGATGTGTACGGTTTGTGTTTACTTAAAATATGAGTTTCAAACCTGTGTTGATATGTATTATAGTCTTTGATATGGGACTTCGTTTTTTTAATGCAGTCTGGACTTTGGTTAGTACTGCTCTTTTTTTCCGCTAGTTTTTCGAAGAAATTATTTAGTACAACTTCTCTTTCTCTTACTCGTCTCTTCTCTTGTGCGTAGGATATCCACTTCGTGATTACTTTTTTTGATAGAAAATTATTTCTACTCTGCTCTTCAGTTCGCAAAGGTATTATACATAACAATTCAGATGTTTTAGTATCTTTCTTTTCAAAAGTTTCTTTAATTTGTGATTTAACTTCATTACTTATTCCCTTGCAACTTGGAATCGATTGAATGGTTTCAAGTACACAATTGTTACCTTCTTTGTTGTCAATTGCCTTAGAGTTTATGGCCATCATTATTAAAAGGGATTGTAAATCAGAACGAAACTCATTGGAATCGTTTTTAGGTTTATTTAAGTCACAACAATCCTCTTCTGGAATTTCCTGAACACACTGAACTCTTATATTAGAATTAACATCAAAATTATTACTTTGATAGTAATGTCCCTTAAAAGTAATTTCCTCTAAATCTTTAATATTTATTTGCTCTTGTTTCGATACACCTTTTATGTCACAATTTTTGACAAGGTTGATATTATTTTTAAAGCGCTTACCTTTTTGCTTCATTGTTTTATTATTTTCTTGACTTGAGCGGCCTAAAGGCTTATAAATCGTTTTTAAATTTCCTTGCGTATGTAAGCCTAAGCCACAATGATCTTCATTTATATTGAAATTTATTGTATCATTAACAACCTTTGGTGATAGCTTCCATTCTTTCAACTTTATATTTTCAATGTTTTTCATGGCATTTTTAAGGTTAACTGCATTTCGTAAATTTAAATTCTCAAAGTAATTCTGCAATTTAACAATTTCTCGGTTCATTCTGAAAATATATCCATACATTTTTTAAGTTTCACTATCCTATAAATGTTACACGGCTTCTATATTTATTTAAGTTATAAAATGTTGATAGTTCATTTATAATCATTAATACTCAGTTAAAAATCATGAGTTAATAATTATTAAAAAAAACATTGGTGGCCTTTATAGAATACAATATTGATTTGATACCTGACGGGAATTATTTTTACGGAATATTCGCAATAGTTTATAGCCTCAATCAATTTAACAGTTGAATAATTTTTTAAATCGGACCAGTAGTCCCTGGGATAACCGAATTGAAACAAACTAACTCTTCAGTTTTATAATATTATTATAGCATATAGATATCCTTTTATTATTTCCCGTCCCATTACTACTAAAAATATTTTCTAGTGCAGTCTAGGTCGATATCGGCCCGCCGATTTCCCTGGTTCCTGACTCAATTCCTGTTTATCAGATCCAGGGATGAATCGAACCTAAGAATTTGGGTTCAGTCTTTCCAACAGTAAAAAAAAGTTATAGCATTTTAATCTGGGGGCGCATTTCGACCTGCCGCACCAGATGAGGCAAGTTATACAGTTGAAATTTTCACAGTTGTTGTATTTTTGTTGCCACTATAACAAAAAATACTAAAAAAAAAACAGAATAAACAAATATTTTAGTGGGGTTTTCTGTGTGTGCGCTGCAGATATTATTTTTTTTTGCAGTTTTTATAGATGTACGGGACCCTTCGTGTGCGAATACGACTCGCACTTAGCCGTTTTTTTAACTTATATAAAATTATATAACTTATATACTTTTTAACTTGTATAAACATACAATCGTCATCATTTTTATGAACCGATTTAAATAAAACTAACACAAAATGTTAAGTGAAGCTTACTACAAAGCATTACTGAAAGCACCCAAATCGGTAAAGCCGTTTCTGAGATCAGCCCGCACAAACTGACAAAAACAGACAAAAAATGTAAAAATTATTGTTTTGGGTTCTATTGCGTCGATAAAAGCCCCCAATAATATTTTTTCTCAAATATCTTCCATGTACAGACAACCGTTAGTTCTACATGTTTATTATATGTATAGAAGGTATGTATCGAATTGGTTAAAAATACATGATGAAATGTAATATAGTACGAACTACCTAAGTACATGGAAAAAAATTTCTCTTATTATAGAATAAAGTCAAAAGCTTAGTATACTTAGAATGGCTACCATGTTAACATGTTTGTGTGAAAAGAGTATAGAGCGTTTGTAGGAAAAATTGTAATAGATAATAACAGTTCTGATACTAGTCGTGTCAACCGGTATTTAAATTATAATCTATTTATTGCCTTATCCGTCCCTCTAAATGTATGAAGGATGTATGCTTGTGTGGAAATAGCGAAAGACATTGGCGGATTTATCAGCAGGTTAGAACCTAGGGCGGCCGATTTTATAAAAAAAAATTGTCTTACAGAAATTAAGAAAAACATTATTTATACATTAAGAAAACTAGTCTTGAAATTTTTACGTAATGTAAGACTTTGATAACTTGTATGGTACGTGGATTGTTAACAGAAAATTGATTAGAGATACTATTCGTATTGTTTCTAAAATGTAAGTAGGTACAATAAAAACAATTAGCTATTACGTTTACATACTATATGTACATTGTTTTGAGTTAGCAGTGTTCATAATTATATAGGTATGTATTTTTAGTAGTAGGCCTACCTAACCCCGTCTTATATTTAGAACTTGATTGAACTTTTTTAGCTCAGAAATATACCCAACAATCATTTTTCTTGTAATATTCACTAAACCGTGGGTTGTAAATAAATCTAGAAACTGACACAACGAAACCCTATTTAAAAATCATGCTCATAACTAGAAAATAATAATATCATGAAGACGAAACAAAGAACAAAAAGTAAAGAAATCCAAAAGTTGCAATTTTATTGGCAGAATAAAATATGTAACTAATATGATTGCGATCTAGGCTATCGAATTTCAGAGGTCAGTGGGGGCGGCAAAAACTGAAAAGCTTGTTGGCGGCAACTTTGTAAATCCACCATTGGCGAAAAATAATAATCTTCGTAATTTAAGATAACCAGATATACTTTTACCGTATGATCCTAGAATTACAAAATAGATTTAAAAGAAACTGATTTTACCTACTTATAATGTAATATGATACCAAATGAACAAAAAAAACCGAATCCTAGATTGTTTAAAATAAATTTGAATGTTACATGCATACCAATATGTTATTAACAAGATGTGATAAAGATACATGAATATTTTTTGCATACTAAGATAAATAGGTACGGGTATACCGTGGAAACGTGGCAAAACATGCTGTTCTAAAATGATAAAAACACCATTTGTAAAATATGTTTAATGAAAATAAATTATTATTATTTAAGATAACTGCATATAATTCCGCCTTTTAAGGACAATATGTTTCTGATTAAAAAATACATCCAAGGAGAACCTCGGACCTTAATAAAGTACCTACAGTTAAAATTATTCAAAACGAAAGTCATAAATAGATTAACAATCAAAAGTCAAAAATAGATTAACAATTGTAAAATAATTACCACCTACTATACCTTTTTTTAGATCAAGTGTTGAACAGCATAATTATTACACAGTATAACGTAAGTACCATTCCTCGGATTCAACTAGCGGTTGATATGGTAGGTAGGTATATTGATCAAATAAAGTAGTAATGTTGTTATTACAGTACGCTGGTCTATGGAAAAAACAATGAGCAATTTTATTTATAGTTGATTTAAGATGAGTAATGCTCAATTTCTTTACTGGCCAAGTAATCAAAGAATATAGTAATATATTATGTTGTAGATATTAAGTGTGAGTGAGACTTGACGGAGTGACGACCTCTGCAAATGTGCGGGAAGCCGATGGATGCACTTGATTCGGGATCATGCTTCGTGGCAGTCTGTAGGGGAGGCTTATGTTCAACAGTGGACTCAAAACATGCTGAAATGATGATGATGATGATTAAGTATGTAGTAGTATGTTTTGGTTCTCTGTTAGATGAACCTCATACGAAACGATGGTAGATTAAAAAAAATGATAACGAGATGTCGATGAATAAATGATTTTGATTTTGGAACCCCAATGGCGTAGTGGGTGTTGGTTAGCGTACCAGCCTCCGGTGCCAGAAGGTGTGGGTTCGATCCCAATACTGGAAAAATATTGTGTGATGAACATAGTGTTTTACTAGTATCAGGGTTCTATTTGGGAAAAGAAAAGTATGTTTATCAGTTATCTAGTAGCCATAGTACAAGCATTGCTTAGTTTAGGACTAGCGAACGTTGTGTAAAAATGTATCCTAAAAATATTTATTTATTTATTCTCTTGTCCGCTCTTAGTGGCTAAAGTGTCAGGCCGCGAATGCCGAAGACGGGGGTTCGATTCCCACAGTGGAGACAATATTTTCGTACTTTTTCTACAAATTTCAATGTTTAATCTTAAGTGCAACGATTAGCACTATAAAAAAATTAAATTACAATTAAACAAAAACAAACAAGAACAAAAGAACTCTCCCTTTTTTTAAAACTCAATTTAAGAATGGCCTTTTATTAAGCCTTTTAAATCTTCGTTCGTTGCAGTGAAAGTATCCAACCAGTGTGACCGTTTGTGGCAGATTTGGCACAAAAAATTTAGATGTGATTTGCACCTAAATTTTGTGATATTAAGTTGACGATTCCAAAAAGTGGCAGAATTTGGCAAATTTCATTGATCAGGCTTGTTGTATTTTCTAATTTACCATTATTTTATACCTTATTCTCTTTTAGCGTTTTATGTTTAGTTGTTTTCCGTGCACGATGAAGAGAATATACGAGCGTTCGTACTGACCTGCGTAGAAACAAGATCTTCTATCAAGATGCTTTATTCCTGGATTTCCAGAGTTAAGGAGGATCCTAATGTTGCATTTTGAAAAGCTTGCAATTGTTACCAATTATTATTCCGAAAGAGATTTGCAAGTAAAAACATTTTTTTTTACTTACTTTTAAATATTTAAAACTTTGCAAAAGCTCTTTTAAGTTTGCTTAAGTCAAATCGAGGAAAGTAGGGCAAAAGGCCTACAGGCCGTAATCCTAAAACGTAGGCGGATCAAATTTCGGAAAACCTAGTAATCGCCATAAGTGCCGCACTCCACCAGGTGACAGAGCGATACCAATAGAGACAGCTCGGTTGACTAATTGAATACGAGTAACAATCCTCAGCAGGGAGTACTAAGAAACTACCAAGAAGATGTCAAATACCAAAAATTCATTAATTATACTGTACTGTCTCTAACGCTTTAACTATATGATGGCATATTTTTGCCATTTTTTGGAGTAGATTCTGACAGATTCGCCATTTTTGAGATAGTCACCCTGAATCCGACATCCGTGGTCATTTCATAGAACTCAGCAAAATACTCATAAAACTGCACATATAAATATAATTATTTAATTTACTGCTTAAACTTACATTAATATTTAATACTTATCATAATTAGTCGTAATTTAATAAAATTTAAGGTTATAATTCAGGTTTATAAATGTAGATATTTGCACGGATTCGACCACTGACAAATCAAGTGATAATACATCCTACACCATTGGACTGGACAACGATTTGACATAACTTAAAACATGGACTTGAAAATAAATTGAAATTTACTAATTAATTACATTACCTTTTTACGAATTATAAATGAACTTAATTAATAAAAGAATAAATTCTACGAAAGACTAGGCGGTATGGTCGAAAGACCTGCGCCGTGGGCGAAAAAAAAGCATAAAACTGCATACCGCAGTGCACGTCAGATTAGTGATGACAATTGACAGCTAAATGAGTTCTGTTTCATATCTTAATTCTTAACAATTAACACTTTAACAGGCAAAAAAGCAGACCATGTAATAGTGTTAACAGGTTAAAACCGATGCAGAAGAGTGAAGACACAAACGTAGTGGTTAAATTCTCTTTGGTTTGGACACAAACTGGATGGTTTATCGCTCACAAACTCGAAGGAAATATTATTCTATTCATACTGAATATAAATTTGCAGTTCAGGTGTTAAAATGCATGTTTGGTCATTTTTTATCAATTTAATAAATGATATTTTGTTTCCTCTAAAGCATTAATTTGCAGTTTTAAAACATTACGTTTGTTAAAGTGCAGTGTACTTAATTTCACTGTAAAAAATACATGAAGAAGTAAATGAATTTGCCCCTTTACAATGAATATAAAAAAAGGTATTTGGTTAAAATATCTGTCTCCAAAGTGGGATTTATTACTGTACTTCTACCGCTTCTTGCATTTATTATGTGCATTATAGTTACCATGTACAAAGATTTTGACCATGCTAACAATACACATTGTAATGTGCCTAATATCTTTCCATCTATATCAGCATCAATTGGTAATTTTGAGCCCCAACGATCAATTTGGAAAACTGCCATTTACATACATGCACCAATAAGATTTTTTATTATATATTTACGATGGAAATATTATCAAGAAATCATTTTAGACAATTGTATTATAGTTGTGAAGTTAGCTGTATCATTAAACATTGTAGAAAATTTATCATTACTTGGACTGACTTATTGGACATCTTCTTATAACTATCGTAAGTATTTTAATTTTTGTACTAAAATATATATTTACCTATTAAAATAATACTATACTACCTATTTTTTATATTGATGTGTGAAAAGATTTTTTTAATATACTAAAAATCAATTTCTTTTATCAGAAACATAACTTATCTTCTGTGGTAATAATAAAATTCTACTATTACTTATATTTACCACACAAAATTTATAATCTAATCATGATATTGATTACTAAGCATCCATAAATATACATGATCAAAAATGTAATTTGTAAGAGCATAATCTTAGCATCATTGTATCAATTTGAAAATAGATAATAGATTTTTATATGCAGTTTCTTATATTCTTATATTTTATTTGCTAATTTCCAGCATATCATGAAATATGTTTCAAGACATTTGTTGGAACATCTATATTCTATATGCTATTCATATGCATATTACTTACCCAGTACCGCAGGAAGCCTCACATGACAAACTTGGAGAGAAACTCTGTTAAATTGAAATGGAGAGCATTTTTTGTTAATGTTGTTTCATTTGCTATAGCAGCCTATTTTTTTCTGAGACACAATAGACTCTGTGAACCCTATGGTGAGCTAAATTGTTTAATGTGTTTATTTCATACTGTACAATTATTTTTATGCTATTTACATACATGGGTCTATTTGCTTTAAAAAACAAATAGATTAAACTGCAACATCCTGTTTCAATTATCAAGTTATTAGTAACACAGTTTTCAATAGTACTAAATATTAATAATTTTTAAGGTTGTCTTAATTTTTCATTCCATAGTAAATAAATCCTAGTTGGAAACAACTGGAAATTAATTTTGTGTTTCTATTAATTTCATTTTATTTTTAATGATATTAGAACTTATGATCAAATTGCTATTTTATTTACAGTTTATTCAATGTTTGGATTTTCTGAATACATTGTTGTGTTTAGCAATATTGCTTTCCACATGACAACTGTATATGATTTAAAAAGAAGACATGTCTTCATTAGTGCAAGAGGTGTTGTTATAGAATAATATATTGCAATAAGAAAGAATTTGCAGTTTTAATTGGGTAAACTAAGATGTAAAACAATAGTTCTCTCTCATTCCATGCCTAATGGTTGTAGATAGTTGTCTTTCTTTTTATAATGGTTGTATATAGCATGTTAATTGTGTACAAAAATATACTTTTAAAATAGATGTAAGGTCCATCAAAAGATTGATACAATAAAAATAGTTTTAATCAAGTAACATGTTTTATTGTTATTCATATATTTTTATAACAAGAATATCAACAGTACATTTATAAAAATATAACCTTTAAGATGAACTTTTTAACAATTCCAGACTTATAACATAGTAAATAATTACGAATAAATTAAACTGCAGTGGCGGTATAACTTACATTGATAACATTTAGTTAAACCATCAAGACTAGATCCTAATTTATATTAATATACAATAACTAGATATTACCTCATTGCACTTTCCTTTAAAGTAAGTTGTATTGAAAAATGAGATTTAATAGATCTTAACATTAACAATAGGATTAGGTTTTTCTCTGTCTAACTACTCATGTAACAAAATATTAAATGCTTATTCAAATTGGAACAAATATAATTAATAGATAGTAAGTCCTATGTACATAGTACAGCAAATCTGTTGCAATTGAAAAAAAAGTTGTTTTAACAATGTTATTGTTCATTTGGCTATGGTAGGCTCCATAAACTTGAATTTTGTTTTAATTTATTATAGAAAAGCTTTTTGTCTTACAGCAACGTCAAAGAAAAAAACATCAAAATAATCATAAATCAATCACAGTCATGCTACAATTTCTAGGAATTGTACATTACATTACCATTTCATTATATTATGTTAAGTGGTTATTGTTACATAATGAATCTTTAAATAACTTTCCCATTATTTTGATATTTAAAATAATGTTATAATGTGTAGATATCTATGCATGTTGAAAGAAATTGAAATCAAAAGAATTACTATAGTTTAAATTCATCCTTCATCTTGTCTGCTATCATTTTTGCAATTGCTAAGGATGATGTGGCTCCTGGTGATGGAGCATTTCTACAGTGCAGTACTCTGCTTCCAATTGCACCAAAGCCAGGTTTAGAATCAAAAACAAAATCCTCTATTAATGTCCCTGTAATTAATAATAATTAATTAAATAATTATATGGTATAATAATTAATTAAATAAGTATATTGTAAGCTTTAAGATGTATCCAGTGTAAACAATTGTTGATAAACCTCTTTAAATAAATAAATAAAAAAATAAATATAGGGTTCTCTATTGACCAATTATGAGCAAATATTAATTTCAAGTCTAAACATAATCCTAAACTTAATCATCAAGTCAAATTTTAATTATAAACTTAAAATGTAACACCTTGTGCACCTGTTGATGACTGTCATTATAATTGTCTGTTCATCATATAACCATCATCTAATACCTTTAAGTTAGTAGTAGTCAGTTAAAAACTGATTACTTATCAGTTTATTGTGTAATGAAACTCTTTTATGGATTTTATTTCCTTCTAGTGTTCATGGTCTGTGATCTGAACCGTGAACACTAGAAAGGGTTCGAAAGCATTTATGGTCTAAGGATTCGAAATGTCGGGAATTTCAAATCTAATTAAACACAATGAAATCCGTAAAATAATTTCATTTCTCAATATATAATATTCACATCAAACAAGAAATCATTAGTTACCATCGTGATTATTTAGAAACAAAAGGTCAATAAATTCATTTTAATTCATTTAAAATGTCAGGTTTTGCTTCATCAAATCATTTATTTTATATTTAAACTCTACCAATTTACTTGTAATATGCTTACAATCATCATGTAAAACAAGTAGACTTACCATCCTTTGCCATAGCTTGGGCCCTGACTCCTGCTGGTCCTCTTTCAACATCAGCACTAGTTATGTCTTGTATATACTTCTGTATCTGCATTACTTGTAATGGAATAAACAGTGATCTGCTCATTTCCTTTAACCCAAACCCAGCATATTTCAAAGCCATCTTGCGAAAACCAGAAAAGCTTACAATGTCAGTCAATTCCTTCATATTTATATCTCCCCACCTCAAAAGTTAATTACATATTTATTAACAAATTTAAAGAATTAATTATGTAAATGATAAAATTCAGTAAAATCTCTTTTACCTATAACCTTCCTTACAAAATGCTAAAATTGCATTGGGTCCAACTATTATTCTTCCATCTATTTTTGGTGTCAAATGTACTCCTAGAAATGGAAACCTTGGATCTGGTACAGGGTAAATATTTGTGTTGGCAATATTACTCTTATTTGTTTTTAAAAATAGGTATTCACCTCTAAATGGAATGATTTTTGGCTCTTCAGAGCATCCAGTTAAAATGGCGACAGTATCTGATTGGAGGCCACAACAGGTTAGAACATATTTTGCCTGTATAGTGACACCTTTTGAACTAATTAACATAACAGGGTATGTTGCATCCTCAGCTTCAACAAACTTATTCACTTCAAAGTTAAGATAACTGTTTCCTCCACATTCTTCAAAGTCTTTGACATAGTAATTTGTCACTTCACCCCAATCAACAATACCTGTGTGAGGTGACCATAATGCTTCAAGCCCCTTGCAATTTGGTACCAACTCGCGCATCTCCTTAGAGTCCAATAGTTTTATATCTTTAACACCATTTTTCACTCCTCTGTCATATAAATCAAGAAGTCTTGGCACTTCAGACCTCTGTGTTGCAACTATCAATTTACCACATTTAGAATATTTAATGCCTTTTTTATCAAAGTACTCATATGATAAATTAAGTCCTTCTACACAGAGCTTAGCCTTTAATGAGCCAGGCTTATAATAAATACCAGCATGAATAACACCACTATTATTGCCACTTTGATGAAAAGCAAACCGATTTTCCTTCTCAGCTATAGCAATTTTTAACTGGGGATGCCTCAAAATTAATTCTCTAGCTGAAGCTGCTCCTACTATTCCCCCACCAATCACCACTATGTCATAACACTGTGGATTTTGAATACCATAACTGAAAGCAGGATTCTAATTAAAAAAAGAATAAACTAATATTGATAATGAACATAACATTTTAAAATGGATATAATAATGAAAAGCAGAAGATATGAATAAATAAGCAGAGTAGTGACGGTTTTGCACTTTATAGATACAACTAGCGACTCGCCCGGCTTCGCGCGGGTGCAATGTATTATACATATAAACCTATCTCTTGAATAATTTTATGTAGTAAATAAACCGCATCAAGATCCGTTGCGTAGTTTTAAAGATCTAAGCAAACATCAGACAGCGCGACGACTTTGTTTTATACTAGGTAGTGATAAGAAGGAACAGGCCGTGGACTTACCTTCGCCGAGTAGCAGTATTTATTAAGCCTGAAACCTGAAGTGACCTTGAGGCCAGTATTTGTAAAGATACTGCGCTTTTATTTATTATAGACATTTTAATTATGTTGTTTATTAAGTATTAGTATAGTTTATTAAGTATTAATCAAATACCACTATTTTTAATATTCTATTCCATATATTGTAAAAAGGACTACGTAGAAACTGCACATTAAAAACAAGAATAATACAAAACAAGAAGATAAAATAATACAGACAAGTATTAAAAGAACATAGAATGTTATTGACACTGACAGTCGATGTTTTCTTTATTCTGACATTGAACATGAGCCCTTTAGCCAAAAAGGAATACCATCAATTCTCATTACCACAGCTTCATTTAAACAATAGTATAACGCTTCTAGGAAACTATAAACATCACATGATGTGAAACTAACCCGTAGGCTATGACCTCACTACTTTCTTCAAGAGCTGCGTAACTCATAAATATCATCTATGAGTTGCGTTTTGCATCTGCGTTGCCGACTACGATGAAACACACAGAACAAATATATGGTAAGAATTATTTATGTTGGGCCGTTGGTGTGAAACAAGAGAAACAAGTCACAACAGGAATGCAACGATTTTGAGTTGCGCGACTGACAAGCACAACCGCGTTTAGCGTTTATTTTAATTGTTACTAGACCAGACACATCTAACTTACAAACGATTACACAAATACACATCATAAATGAAACTAATTTATACGGATTATCGCGTTTATTTAAACCAGACTCTTTAGAATTTGTCATAAACGAATGGAAAAGAGGGGAAAAATTCTGCATGCCTTTTGCACGTAGAATATTATTGGTTGCAAGCAAGCTTTGTGCTATAAGTTGTTTTTGCTTGTGTGTGTTTGTTTAAGCGTGGTGGCAATTTGTCTGTCACGGACCCGTTTGAGGTCCACCTCTAATTCCGTCACCTTGCCACGACATGTGGGGGACATGATGTGATTGGTAGACGAGGAGCCACTCTCTCTGTCTTCTACAATTGAGGTGGAGTGGCGGGTAATATGTGGTGATGGTACATCCGAGACAGCGCCTTCTTATAATCGTTTGGACTATTGGAAAGATGAATTACGCACACACTGCGGTCCGGCCCCGCGTCGTCGGAAGGACTTTGTGATAGAAGCCCTAACGGGTCTATGACCGACACTACACCACCATGCCTTACACGGCATACTCAACATTCACTCTCAAATAATTATGTACTAGGCGTAGCGCGGTTGTCTATTTGGCTGTTAGCTTAGCAGCTTTTGACAGCAACGTTAGAAGACCTGCAGCTGACTCAGGAGAAACAATGATAAACGACGACACGATGACAGCGTCTAATCCGCTCTGTATATTCGCGACGCCTATTGGAGAAAGATGAACAATTAAACTAAAACGAAATATCCCCTCTTGGATAATTTGTTCCTCAGATGGATGGTTCAAACGTTAGTTTTGACCGCTGTCGAGTGGACCATTCGCCTATAGATTCCCTTGTATATTACTTATTTTCTATAATTGTCGTTTGTACTGAAAGGATTTTTTTGATCTGGAAGCACCAAACCATGTTTTCATTAGGGATGTCGAAAGTTAAAAAAATATATCGATATTTTCTATTTAGGCCCTGTTGTATACAAAAACGAATGAAAGTATTAAATATTTAAATGTACGGACGCTGTCCAAGATTCTAAAAAAATACAGTTTTTGATACGATTTCGATTTGAATATTTTATATCGATATAGCGGAATAAAATATATCCGCTAAAAATATCTAAATATCAATACTTTTTTGGCATCCCTAATTTCCATTCAATGTCCTAAGAAAGTTTTAATTAATTTAAAGTTGAAGTTCAGAACAAGTAAACGTAGTGATTACATTCTCTTTGGTTCAGAATTTGTTTTAGTCAAAACCTTTCGCAATTATCCCTTTGTTTTATTACGTGAAAACCTTTATGATGTTGTACAATTTATCATTTTAAAAAAAATATTTATTATTCAGAATGGTGCAGTCACAATTTGCATTATCATGGGATTCCTACAAAACCAATATCTGCAACGGCTTCAGTGCTCTTCAACAGGTATGAATTGGATATAAAATAATAGTGAGTAGGATAAATTTACTTGCAGTTTATAATTAAATACTCTTTTTTTTGTATTTTTCACTACACATGAGCTTAAATAAACTTGAATGAACTACAATACAATACTTGTACGATAATATTATAGAATAACTACTTATGTTCCTTGCTCAACAGAATGGAGAATTTGTTGACATGACTTTAGCTGCTGATGGACATTTTGTAAAGGTCCATCAAGTTTTAATGGCCCTTGCTAGCCCCTATCTAAAAGATTTAATGTCATCTGCTCCATGTCAACATCCAGTTGTTTTTCTCAACGTAAGTCAGAAAATTTCAATTGTATATTAGATTTTAAGTAATTCTTCCTTAATGCTTAAGTGTTTAAAATTATCTCGAATTATTTTTATTATAACAACGATTTTATTATTTTCCAGAACATTTCTTATACAACATTGTCTTTTTTGCTCGAGTATATTTACACAGGAGAAGTTAATGTTCCAGCAAATAATTTTACCTCTTTTGTGGATGCGGCTAAAGCTCTTCATATAAAAGGACTTGAGACAGTAGTAAGCTTATTAATTTTTTTATCTTATCATAATTTGTGGTTTGTGGTTATTCTATTATATACAAATACATTGAAGTATATTTGTAAGTTGTTATTGAAATTGTCCTTTCCAAAAGTTACCCTGTATTTAGAGAAAAAGACTGTTTACATAACAGTCTTTTTCTCTAAATACAGCATAGAATTTATAACAGCTATTTTAAAATTAGATTCACAATGGTATTCCCAACTGTTATGAGAGAAGGAGCTGTATTATTTTTGATAATAAAATATATAATACTATAGTAATAATAATGAGTACTTACCTAATGTACATACATACATAAATGAATTTTAAAAAGAAATACCAAAGAGATGTTGAAAGTAAGAAAAAATGCCTACCATCGCTAGCATTAGAAGAAATGCATGAAAAACTCATGATAGTTCACAATATAACACAATTTAATAGAAATATATCAAAAACAAATCAATTGAGTTAACCACCCACCACAAATTGTACCAATTAAATGGGATTAATTTTAAATATAACAGTTGACATAAAAGCCAATTTAAAACACTAACATTTATTTTACAGTTTATGAAGAACTTGTAAAGTGTTCAGGTATTTGAACAGAGTTCAGCATAAGTGAATTTGAACCCAATATTAATATACTTCATACACTCCAATATCTTGTGACATTGGTTCTTTCATAGATTTCTTTTCAAATTATTTTCAGGTTGGCCATGAGAATACCCCTGCTAGTTCACTTGCAAATACATCACAAACTGAAGAAGTCGAAGAAAGTTACAGTAATAGTCTGAAGAGATTAGTTTCAAAAGATAACATAGGACAGGTATTTATCTGGCTTTATTAACAGTTTTGTTACATTTTTATTTAAAATTAAGCCATTGTGAATTATAAGTCATGCATTGTGTTCATTTTAGTTTTTAATTATCAACATAGTTTGTGAGGTAAGTTTTATTTAATTTTAGGTAAAGAATTGTTAAGTGAGGAAATATTTTTTTATTTTAAACAAGCAATTATTAAGTATACATATTGAATGTTTAAAATTTTAATGTTACTGTGTTTAAACCAAACCCTTCTGTTTTTTTTTATTTTATATCTATATCTTTGATTTTCTATACCTAATTATCTTCTTAATGATCAGAATGATCAACTCAATGAGTTTAACCATCCTTTTGGCAATTTAAATAATATTTGAAAAGCCATTTAACAGTTGATTAGTTAACTTTTACAATGTTCAGTAAAACCTGGAGTTATGGTTCAATTACCTGGACAAGTTGAAAGCAGTTATTTCTATGATATCATTAACAAGTTTTTGTAGCATTTTAATAAAAATCATCACACAATGTCTTTATTTCTAACATAAAGTTTGTAATTTTTTTTAGATCAATTTACCAGTTACTGCCAGAAAGATTATAATTAAACATGAAACCAATCCTGATACATCTTTAAGGTAAATCTGAAAATGCTATTAATAAAACTACCATATGATGTTCATTTTACACATTTAATTTAAAATATTCTACTCCCCGGGTCAACTGGAAGTGAATGCTTATTAGCATTAACTTTGCCTTTTGTATAGCCTTACAAAAGGCAAAGTTAATGTTAATGTTAACAATTAATTTTTAAAAAAAGAAATATTTTTTTATATCAATATAATGTTAATAAAAGGTCATGATTTAAATTCTAATAGATAATTTGGTAGTGGTCTCTTCTGAGCACCTACCATCGAGTTAAAAAATTAATACTTTGGCAACTGCGAGGTCATGTGTTCATCTGACAGAAAACTATGAATTATTTTTACGTGTTTTCTACAGTTTGCTTGATGCAATTTTTTATTTGTTCTGCTTACAAGTTATAGGAAAAGTCCTGTAACAGGGGCTCCATAATCAAGGTATCTAATAATAACTACTCTTTGACTGTCCCGAAAAAGTGCATAATTTTACCGCCAGGCGATCTCTGCCCCGAATTTCAGTTTTACCGATTTTTATCAACTCAATGACAAGTCACATATAAAGGTGTGTTGCCTTACTCAACACAACCATAACAAAATAATTATGTGAAAATATACTTAAAAAGATCTGGGTACATCCCAGATATTTTTAATTAGTAGTACAAGTAGTAATTATTTCAAATGAAACTAATTTTACGGATTTATCGCGTTTATTTTTAATTTTAATTCCCGACGTTTCGCTAGCCCGGGTTAACTATGACAATTAGACGTCTAACACCTCAGTCTGTCCCGTGACCATGAACGCTGTAAAGGGTTTGAAACGTCGGGAATTAAAATTAAAAATAAACGCGATAAATCCGTAAAATTAGTTTCATTTATAATGTGTAATCGCATAAATACAAGAAAGTAATTATTTCCTCAAATTTATCCTCCATATCTATTTATTGTCATTCTCAGTACTATTACTTTTTGATCATCTCTCTTATCTAAAAAGTTATTCTCAAAAAATTTGATTTAGTACTATATACCACTTCAAGTTAGATCAGACGGATAGCTATTAGTACTATGATGGGAACGAGAAAGCAAAACTCTCCCTGTATGCCTGAATAAAATGTCTATTACTATGAACTATTTTATCAGACTTGTCTAACGAAACACGAAAATATAATACTGCCCATTCGTCCATTGCGTTGACCTACTATAGTGTACATTGTTTTATATTGAGCAGATCGTCTACGCAGAGTACGAATAATCATCTCTTTGTAAAGGAAGATTCCCATGGCTTTTCGGATATGGACGACGGGGGAGGCAATGATGATGACGACGATTACTGCCTGACGACGAAAACCATCAGTACTGAACAAGGAAAAGGTTTTTATGTTGTTTATTTTGTTTTTGAATATTATCTGGATATAAGTAAAAAAGTTAAGTAACAGCCTATACATGTCCCACTGCTGGGCAAAGGCCTCCTCTATACAGAGGGTATCAGGGCATAGTCCACCACGCGGCCCCACTGCGGATTGGCGGACTTCACATATCTTCGAAATAATTTTTTTTGTTATTATCTCGAAAATATGCAGGTTTCCTCACGGGGAGCACGTGATAAGTCAGCACTTAAGGCGCTGTATGCAGTAAAACTAGGTTTTTCGTTCTATAGAAGCAAAAAAAATATATGTTAATCTTGATCTTACATTCTAATGGACCATTGTTTTCAGAACATATTCTCGATATATTTTCTCGATAGAAAAAAATCACGAACTTACCTTTAAACGTGAAATTCAAATAAAAAAATAGATATAATAAATGAACAAATCTTAATGAAATTAATATTAGGGGTGTAGAATATATTAATAAAAAGGACTGTTGTCTTAATTGTTTGATTGAAGTAAGATATTTCTAAATATTAATTTAATTCATTAAAATTTATTCGAACGCGATGGCCACCGCGGCGTTGTTTCGGTTCTCTTCCAACTCCACACGTTGAACAGAGAGCGCTGAGGCGCCTTGCTAGATGGACCTATGCCGCTCATCGCCCGCTCACCATTACGAAATATGTTTCGTATTTATTTATTATTGAGAGTTTTAATTTTATTAGACTTTCGAAAACACGAAACTAAAAAATATATATTCACATATTTCGTATTTATAAATTATTTGTATGTATTAACAGTTGTTAATACATACAAATTAACAATTAATTTATTTAAAGCATAATTTCAATGTCTTATCTCGTGATTGATTGGTCTATCAGTCCTATACATACAGTGTATAGGACCATCATTCTTTATGGATTGGGTTCAAATCCCTAAAATTTTTTTTGTACTTATTGTTGATTTTTTTATTTGTTAGTATTTCTTAATTACCATTTAGTTATTGTTGATTTTTTTATTTTCATAAATATTACAACGAAACATTATTGTATTTGTGCTTTCTCATACTTTATATTTGTTTGTTTATTATTATTCGTATTATAATATAAACGTAAAATACAATCATGGTCTATAAAAGATATTATAGGGATCATCTGTGTTCATTTTCGAAAGCCTTCCATGATACTATCGATAGTCTCCTACGGCCCATCACTACACACACACACTAGGTAATCAATGACTTGGTTTAGCGGCGCGTCGACGAAACTCGCGCGCTGTGCGACGCTAAGCGGCGTTACCCCTCCTCGAGGAAGCGTCCTCATACTTCACCACCCAAATAGTTAAAAATTCACTGCATACAGTGCCTTAAAGTTAAAAACTTCATTAGTGCCGGCAACTGGGATCGAACGCAGGTTGCTAGAGTATATATTGAATTAAAGGCTAGCGCCCGGACACTGAGCTATCACGGCCCTATATAATATTATAAAACTGAAGACCTTGTTTGTTTGCTTGAACGAGGTAATCTCAAAACTACTGGCCGATTTGAAAAATTATTTCCGTGTTACATAGCCTATATATTGAGAAAGGCTATGTATTGTATATCATCACGCTAAGATCAATAGGAGCGGAGCACCAATGAAAAATGTTTCAAAATCGCTTTTTTTCCTTTTGAGAGCTTCCGCTGCGTGTGCTGTTTAAACAGTTAGTTTCACAAAAATCATGCAGTACAGAATTGCTCCCTGTTAAAAGTTCATAAAAACAAAGTCCGCGACAGCATAATATGTCTATCTTTTAAGGTTGGCTCCCTATAACCTTTTTTTGCTAACCAAATTTGTTCTTAAATAATGCATTATTTGCGAAGGTGTTTTTATAAACATCATATTAATCCTTATCCAAATAAATGCGTTCTTCATCACAAGTATTTAATTTAAAACAAAATTCACGTCAAACAATCTTCCACCTTCTACGTTAACGAAGTCACGGCTTAAAGTAAGCGTTAGCTCAAAGTAACTATTCTACGCGGACGCAGTCGCCGGCGGAAGGTAGTAATGAATAAATTAAGATAGTGACAGAGAGTTAAAGTAATAGTTAGATGTAAAATAATAATTTTAAATGTTTGTAATAAAAATATGGATTGCAGTGTTTAAATGTTCTTACAGTGCAATAAAGTATTTTAAAAGTAGAAGAAACTGTGGCCGAAGCAACAAAAGAAATGAAAGTCTACACACAATATTTTACTCAGCCCACATCATTCCTGCAACATTGTTACTACCTATAAAAGTAGTTTATTAAAACCCAAATTTAATTATTTACAGTACCAGCAGTTCCCGTGAACACGAACTTACAATTCACAGTATCTATAAGAGGGTCACTTCAAGTGATCCTGAACCGGTACATGTACAATTTGAATTCCACGCAAAGCTCAGGCGTGAAACGATGGCGTTGCATCGAATACCGCAATAAACGGTGCATGGCTTTCCTAGTCACCAAAGGCAATGTTGTATTAAACAGGTAAGACATACCTTCAATATTATATTTTCTTTTTAAATGCTTGCTCATATTACCTTACCAAATTATGTAAATAACCTACTAATAAATTATTTGTTAAAATTCTTTAGGCAATATGATTATTGCTCCATGCCACTAAGGACTAGGTCACCATTTGCTATCAGGTGGTAACTGATATCCAACCTATGAGTTGGAGATGTAGAAGGTATTTGTTGATAGTTAAATAAGTGTGAGGAATAATCCATCGTGAATTTGTTTTTCAGAGCGAATCTCCACAGCCATTCCTACCACGATAAAAAGATTCTGGCAAAGATTGAAAAAAACGCTGTTTTCTCAGCACTTGACGATGCTGAAGGATACAAGGAAAAGGAGAAAGCCAAAAACGAAGAAGATACCACTATGGATAGCGAAGATTACAGTGCATATGATCTTAGCAGGGACTCTAGTGAAAAATGTTAAACATTGTTTGAATATTATAAATAGTTATTTTTGTTTCATTCAACTAGTGTTTTATTGCAATTATATTTTCATGTATATCTATATGTTATAGTCAGAAGTTCCGGCGCTCCAAGGTTTGATTAGTCAATCCTCAGGTTTGACCTAAAGAATTTTCGTCAAACCTTGGAGAGACTAATTTGATCCGGAAATCGTTGAAACTCAATTTCATTAAATCGGAGTTTGACTAGTCAAAATTCAATTAGGTATTCAAATTTCTTACCTTTTTAGATTAGGGTTATGATAGTACGATAGCACTGCGACAACTAACTACAGTGTGACGTCAATTTAGTATACTGTGAAGCCGTACCTTTATAGTTAGTTATACTGGTTACTATTTAGAAAGGAACGCATTCCCGTATACTGCAGCCGCAATTTTGACGCAGCATTCAAATGAATGTATTAAAGTTTTCTTATTCATTACTTCAGTTACTACTTAATTAATTAATACATACATAATAATACATATTAACATAATAATAAATATTAATACATATTAATTAATACATTGTTTTATTTATTAATCAAAACTAATTACAGAACTTTATAATTTTGGGATTAAACTGAAGGTATTTTTTATAAAACGTTAGGTACTCGAGTGGTTTTGACTGATCAAAGTACTGAGATTACCTTACCTCGAAAAGAAGAATATGGCGACGGTTTATAACGTCATATTTCCCTAGGGTTCTGGGGCATTATAATGGCAGTCCATAACGGAACGAATTTATCTACAGTGATTAATAGCACTGTGCAGTGCTTGCAGTGCATAACGGAACGTCCCTAGATATATTAAAACAGTGTTTTTTTTTTTTTAATTTTAATGTTTATAGTTTTAATATTGTCGTAATTAAAATAAAAAAATTGTCTTTATTCTCATATGACTCTTTATAAACCATCAACTGTTTTACTTTTATCTTGTTTAATACCTACCCAAAACTTTTCAGGCATTTTTTGGCTCTATCGGAACTGAGAATGTGTATAGTTACAGTTTATCGAATCGTTCAATTAATTCTTTCATAACATTAGGCTGAGCTCCTTTATAGCTAGGTACTTTACCTGTAAAGAAAACGTCCTCACAGATAATCTTTATTCAAATTAGTAATTTTCTCTTTAATTTTTAATATTAAAGCTTTTTATCCACGTTTTCAGTAACAAAACTGTTTGATTTAATGACAAAATAATTTATCGGTACACCGCTTCTAGGATCGATTAGGCAAGACCCGAAACAGATTATGTTAGTTTCGACCTTCGACTGAAAGTAAGGAACTTCTATTTTAGGCAAAAAATAGGTACTTCAGTCAAAGGCAGTTGAAGTTTATTGCGGGGTTTACAAAACCCGGAATTCCTGGTTCAGCCTCGGTTTTTAAAACCTAGGATAAACCAGTCATTCCGGGAAGAGACTGCATATCGACCTTTGACTATAACATATTTATATATTAACGAACTCATAAACTGCGTCAAATTCCAGGACAACTTTCTTGTTAATGAATATTTTTTGCAAATTTTTGAGATACTTACATTTAAATAAAATATTGAAGACTAGATAAACAAATTTAAAAATGCGATCTTGAAGCAACCTATATTCGCTAAAAAAATATTCGTATGATATTAGATTTGCGCATTAATATGGTAATGTTTTTAATTTGTTGTTGTCTTTTATCGTTACGAATTGAATTATCGTCACCAATAAAATGAGTCTTTGTTATCGTAACAAGACTTCTCTTACCTTAATAAAAATACAAATTGAGGGATTGCTCAGAGAAAGCTTGTACCAATGATTGATTCCTAATTGAAATAAAATTTAATTCCATTCAAAGGTTTCTCGAGTATACAGATAGTTTGTGAATACCGGAACCACGTCTTCTTTTACAAAAGGAGACGTGGTTCTGGTATAATTCGTCTGGTATTATCTCTCGTGAAGACAGATTTATTCTGACAAATTGTCTGCTTAATCATTTTTAGCGTCAATTAACATTAAATAAGAACTTAGTGAAGTCCGTGATGTAAATTTAAGTACACAGACAGTAAAAAGAATTTAATATGGGGTAACATCTATTTTAGACCGTCTTCTGCTCACAGACATGTCCGCTTACGATTTGCACGTGAACACTACGTTATTTAGTGCAGTTGGTCTCGTGTAAGAACCGACAAGGCCATGCTTAATTAGTGCATTTGGTTGCGGAAGAGTGTATCGCCCACGTGGAGAACAATATATTACTAAACGGACGAACGGAACTCTTCATCGACATGGCCCTATCGACGGTATGCACTTGTAATTGGCTGGTTATAAATAGAATTAAGTCTTTAATCATTCGGAAAAACTACCCCTATTACCGTATTAAAATTAAGTAATGACTAATTAATAAAGTGATCATTAACAATCATTATATACTATTATTGGTAAAACGAAATTAAAGTAATAATTACTAATTTAATTTCGTTTTATCAGCTGATCTGATTTTTATTTGTATTTTTCTACACCGTTTAATTAATCAGGTACCTAGAAGTAAGTGGGAATCATTATTTCGCAATTAAAGATCTCGGGGTATAGATAATACAAAGTTTGTGTTGTAAATACTGGTCATTTCCTTTTTTGGTAAACCAATAGCAGAAATTCAATTAATGCCCCTACTATCAAAAAATAGTAATAAGTCTCAGTAAATAAAAGAAATCATTTTATTCGTTCGCGTAAACGGTTGCAGTGGGCACACAACCGAACGGTTCTGACTACCGTGGATTTTCATTAGTTTACGTGAATAAAGCCTTAGCCTCCAATCGTTTGCTAAGGTGCAAAGGTAAGTGATAATTATCATGCTCTATAAAAAATTCTGGTTTTTCTTCATAATAAACAGAAAGCTTTTTGAAGGTTATTTAGATGGCGATACGTATGTAATACATTTAAAGATACATGATGTTCATATAGTAACAATTTTACGAGCACTTCCACAAAACATATTGCCGTCTTTCTTTGTTGTATTAAAATTTAAATATTTGTATTGCGCTCTAGTTCATTCTCACTTCATGAACCGTAATACATTCATAATTTTGTGACGCAGTCGTCACTTGTTAATGTCACAGTTCACTCGTCCGTTCTGTTAAGCCAGTACCTATTACGGACGGTTGAGTTGTTGTTAATTAGTGCATGTGCCAAAGTCGTGAATCTTTATATACAAGACTTTGTAAACATTTTGCTAGGAACTCGCCTACATTAGATACAATCTGCTGAACGTACGCATTTTATGGTAACACATTTGCTTTTTATTCATGCGCGCACTTGTCTGTATAATACGCGTTTTCCATATATATTCCACCTAAGGTACATTTAACTCTTTACGACAATCAGTATGTAGGGGCATTTTAGGCAATGGAGTTCCCTGCTCATGCAATAAGGGGCGAGCCCTTTAGAGGGAAGTAGCTCCTCGACATTGGGTCGTGGATGTGTGCGAAAGCTTTCCTGGGGTCTACCGAACGCTCTATGTACAAAATTTCAGCCAGTGTGAGTCCGACATAATTATGAGATTATTATGAGCCTTCCATGAACAAATTATGTTTAACACAGTTGTCATTGCTGTCCTTAAAATAGGACTGATATAATATATCTAGTTGGATTATAACTTTTGTCACATGACAATCTATAACTTTAAACGAGCAATTCTTGTATATATACATATAATCGGAATCTAGGAAACGGCTCCAGCCATTTTCATGAAATTTAGTATGTGCGTAGATTCTGGGACGAAAAATCGATCGGGCTAGGTTTCATTTTTAGAAAATGTCGTTTTATTCCTGTTTTCAGGGAATGAAAAATATCATTCGAATATGACGGTAAATTTCGGCAAAATGTTATAATAGCTCGGTTGGTAATCGGGAGGCCCCAAAACAGAAGGCCGCGGTTCGTGTCACGATCATTTACACACTTTTTTTTTAAATACCGAGCAAAGCTCGGTCATCCAGGTACTAACCGTTTGTATACCAAAAGAATACCATACTAAAATAGATTGTATGCTAACAAAGCTTATTCAAAATCACCCTTGCGATTTTAAATACAAGCCTTCTTCCTTCGCGGCCACGAATGAGGTCCATATCAATATCGGCGGCTGCTTTGATCAATGATGCCTGGAGTGACACCAAATCAGGATGAGTCTTAGAGCAGGCCCATTCCACCAATTATTCCCATATTTTATAATCTAATGGATTTAAGTTGCGACTGAAAGATTTCGCGCACCGCCCACCAGTTTTGCGTGCTTTTTGCTCTATGAACTGGCGTAGAAACCTGCTGGAATACCCAGGGTCTGATATTTAAGATGAGGATCTTAAATATCAGACACTGATATACTTATGGTACGGCAGTTTCCGTTCCACGAGGCCGTATTTCAGAGCGAGCTCCTGGTGTAGGATTCTAGCTACTAGGTTGTGTCTATGCAGATACTCAGAGTTAGAAAGCATGGAACAACCGGAGATAACATGCCGAAGCGACTCCCCGGGACGGCAACAAGCTCGACAGATGTCGACTAATTATCATTATTATTACAATTTCTATCTGTTCACAATTATCTTTAAACACAAGATTACACCAATCGTATCATATTTTTACTTTTTTTTACTATTATATGGAAATGTTAAATAGAATATAATTTTTCCTTTCCAGAACTTCACCTTTATTTCCCGCATACTGCTTCAAGAAAACACTACCTATAGACCAGTCTGAATAGATCCCCTTCAGACTCAGGTCCACAGGTAGTCCTGAAATAAAAATTCCCTTTTATTTTAGTATAAGTTTAAGTTGTATTAACAATTGATTATTGATTTAAATTAATTAATATACATACGACCCAGTGGGTTGGACCCACAAAATCAAATAGGTAGGTAAAGTTAGTCAAACGACTCGCGATAACTCACGAACAGCGAGTTTCGACCCGGTCAAGCTTTCGGTTACTAGGTCTTTTGGCCGAAAGTAAATATTAGGCCCGACTTTACTTGACAAAACCAGTTGAGCTTTTAACTATTTGCGATCTGGTTTCGCTATGAAATACAATAATACCGCCTTTTCTTTTCATGAAACGTCGTTCTTAACTACGAAAGGCATTGATTTTTGCCCAGTAAAGTAAAAATCGTTACTTTATATAGGCGTAATCGTTTGTTTATTTAATTATGCACATTCTTATTAGCTGAAAACTACGTTACTATTGTTCTTTCCTAGGAAATTTGCATAATGTACGATGAGGAGTAAATTAGGAAACTATACGGAAACGAATACGATTTTTAACTTAAAAGAGATTGGTGTGTTTATACTTTAAATTACCCTGTTTTTGTTTTCTAATGTCTAAAAGTATGCATTTATTTTAAAACCTGTTTAGTATTGCATTATGTCGTGCAGATGTATGATGTAGTTTAATAATATTAGCACATGTCTGGTGCGTTAAAAAAAATATTAAATGAGGTAAGAAGTGCTGAACATTTTGTGTTTTACAAATGCTACTGAGGAAAAAACTTTTTTTAATATTGTTCTCTGTGAAGGTTTTATATTGAACCTACTCAAAAGATTCAGTTGGTTTTTTTTTAAATGTCTACTATCCAATAAATTCAGTTCGATTTTTAAATAGTGTATATAAACTTGGGTGGACTAATATTGACATATCTATTTACGTATTGAGATTTTGATTATAAGTTACTAGCGACCCGCACCGGCTTCGCACGGGCGCAATGTATTATATATATATAAACATTCCTCTTGAATCACTCTATCTAGTAAAAAAACCGCATCAAGATCCGTTGCGTAATTTAAAGATCTAAGCATACATAGAGACAAACAGACAGCGGGACGACTTTATTTTATACTATGTAGTGATTCGATATCCCCAAGGACGCATACGTCGAACTCGCACTGTTCACCGACATTTTAATCCCCTGATTAGAGCCGACACTTCACTGATTCCAGCTGGCCTTCACTGATTGGAGCCGACAATTGGTTTCGCGAATAGAGAAGAGGTAATAAATAAATATTTTTGAACACATTTACTAACTACAGACTACACAACGTTACCAGTCCCAAACAAAGCAATGCTTGTATTATGATAAACATACAATATATGTATTTTTTGGTAAATAGTATCACAGATATTCAAACACCCATAGATATTGGAAAATTCCTGTTTTTATCACACAACATTTTCCAGTAGACACCGTCTAGCGTAAGAAATAGGTTCACCATTAACGACGCCGATCGGGTCTAAGGTCGTTTATACTACCGACCATTCCTTTCGATAATTCCTTAGGAAATTAAGGTCTAATATCTAGGGGCTAGGTTAAAAGGCGTTTGTTATAGGATTAATTTATTGTTTCACGAACTCTCGCTATATAAGGCTTACGTTCCACCTACATTATCTACGCTGCAATTGTGACTTTCAGGCAAGTTGCCAAAAGTGTTTGCGACGAACTGCAACGAAACGGGAGACAAAAAAGCAATTACAATATTTTCGTTAACCTAACGCGACTGTTCGCAACCGTCGTCCTTAACATCACGTAGGGTCTCGCTAGACAAACCTATAAACGACGTAGTGTCAATGCACAAAAAACAATAGTGCGGCTTCGCGTACAAGGTCGCAAGGCGAAACCAACACACCACGAACATCCGCGTTTCGGGCTGGTTCCGAAACACTGACGGACCAGATGGTAGGGCCACGCAACAGTTTCTACTGTTTCACGAACGGTCAGGCTCGTCCGGGGAAGTACCACGGCCTCACAAAAGACTTCAAGTGTAAGTATTACACTTTCGCGTTTCGTCTGGTGAGTGTGGTATCCGGGACCACACTATTTAATCCATTTAACATCAGGTGAACCGCCTGCTCGCTTGAGAACAATGCACATAAATACTTCCCATCTAACAAATAGGACAGTCCTTAGCTGTTGGTATCGCGGTCCACATACCGGATCTGACGGTACCTAATTGACCATTCCCTTATTTTTGTTAATACATACAATTTTTTTTCTGTTTAGGTATGGTTTGTCAAGCCTATGGTAGGCAGCGCCTACAAGAGCTCTGTATTGGACTGAAAGCGCAAACTTTACAAAAATAATGTGAAAGACAATGCAAAGCTGAGTCCTCTGGGTTTGGTAAGTATCCAATATTTATATTTTAATAAAAGGTACAATGCAGCTTATTATTATTAGATAATATAAAGATAGCATTTTGCAAAGTAATCTGCAATTTTTATTAAACAAAAAGGTTCAGAAAGGCGTTGCTTGTGTTTTTTTAACCTCTTTTCGGAGATAAAAGTTCTCATGTTGTTACTGTTGCGAGACACATGTGGACAAAATAAAGCGATAACCTACAAATAAATTTACAAGTGAAATCTATTATATATTCATTTATTTTTGTGTTGCTGGGTAATACAGAACCATTGTTTAAATAATGATACGGTACTGTTAATTTACATTTACAATGAACATATATATGTAACATGTTAATTTCGTATTCAGTGTACTGTCAGTTTCAGAAGAGATAAAAAGGATCGAAGCTAATTGAAGACATGAATAAAACAATTTTGTTATGCTTTACTGTCTTGTTTAATACAAGTTTTTCGAATCCCATACCAACGAAATGTGTTGTTCAAAATTACACCGAGGATCCTGCTGTAAAACTGTTACAAGAATATATACAAATAGATACCAGTGTAAAAGATAATATCGGTAAGTAATATTTTGACATAGTTCATAAAATATTAGACATATTAGATTGTTATTACATTGAATTAAAACCGAAACGAAACTTGCTTAAATTTAATTATATTAAATGTATACAATTATAGTAATTTAATTAAACGTATTGACGAAATTTTTATTAAAAAAAAGTAAGAAAAATTGCTTATTTCTGCAGGGATATGAACGTGCATCTTTTGGGTAATGAAGCACTCTAGCAAACGGAGTAATAGTGTTCGCTGATCTCAAAATCTTATACTTTTTTTTTATTTTTATCAAAAAAAATTTAGAAATCTACAATGAAACTGACATTAGACTCTAAAATAAAAAAAATTGTAAAATTTAATTAAAATTGCTCATAGCTACCATAACTTAATGCACTTCTATCTTCACAAAGTATAACGATATTTTTTGATGATTTTATTATAAACTTGGGGATAAAATCTTTCGAGTAAAGTTTTGTGATTGATAAATAATAAAAAAACCGGCCAAGTACGAGTCGGACTCGCGCTCGAAGGCTACCGTACCATTATCTATAAAAACGGCATAAAACATGTCTGTTGGGAGCCCCACTTAGATATTGTTTTATTCTGTTTTTAAGTATTTGTTGTTATAGCGGCAACAGAAATACATCATGTTTAAAGATTTTCTACATGTTTTATCTTATCTCTATAATGTAATATAGGGGCATGTGTGTTGTTTGGCACGTAAGCAAATTGAGACGCAAATTTAACAGCCTTATTACATCAACATTTAGTTTATATAAAAATAACTTATTTTTTAATAATAATAATAATAATAAGATGGGAGATAATGCTATTTTGATTGTTATTCAGACTGTACAATTTAACCTACCGATATTATGATGAATTTTGCCTGTTCGAAACAGAATACGCTGTTAATTTTTGGGAACGTCAAGCGGCCGCGATAGGCCTACCGTTTTTTGTGTACCGGCCAGCATCGAAGCCGATATGTGTAATCACATGGACTGGTACAAATCCAGAGCTTCCAAGTATAATTCTCAATTCGCATATGGACGTCGTTCCTGTTGCAGAGGTAGGAAAAATTGTAAAATAAATCTTTATCATCTGCTACAAGAAATTTTCCTGTTTAGTTACCAGCGATTCCACTTTTAGCAAGACTGGACTTATCCGCCATTTTCTGCATATATCGACGAGAACGGGAACATGTACGGGCGCGGTACCCAAGATACTAAATCTATCAGCATTCACTATTTGGAAGCTATAAGAAAACTGATGAAAGATAACGTGAGGCTGAAACGCACTGTTCACCTTACTTTTATTCCAGGTAGTAATTGTTTGTTATCAAAGTGTCATCAAGGAGCAGTCTCTCAACATCTGACGGACCGTCAGATATTTAGTGACTGCTCCGCCGCCTATGGACGTTCACAACACCCAAATAGAATTATTTGACTTGACATTTGACGCTCATACTTGAATCAGTATGAGCGTCAAATGTCAAGGAGATGGGCTACCTCACTCACCAGGCTATACGCTAAAGTATGAACAAATTGACTTTAGGTCTGCCGTCAGGCCTTGTTATTTGTCTGGTTTAGTCTTTTTATTCGTGCAGCATCAAGAAAGGGTGGCTCCTGGTGACATATAGCTGGTGTAAATATAATTTTCACACGTATTGCAATAATACCAAATAATAAACGCATATAATTTTTATCTTTAGATGAAGAAACTGGCAGCTTTAATGGGATGATACCATTCATTGAAACTGAAGAATTTCGATCATTGAATCCTGGTTTTTTTTTTGATGAAGGACTTTCAACTAATGATACACTTGTCGTGACGTATCAAGATAAAAGACCATGGCGTAAGTACCTAATTATTTATTAAAATGTGAAAGTTAAAATATATCCGTAATTAATAGCAACTGACTACATCTAATTTTATGTTGTCATCGAAACCCGTTTTCTGTTATAATATTCACTTCATCTTAAATCTGTAATATACCGTATATCAAATTGACATCAGGAGCGTTGGCTTACAGTTAATTTATTATAAACAAACGTTTACATAAAATGTCTCTGTTACAGAACTTAATTTAACCCTTCATGGGGAAGGCGGTCATGGGTCTTCTATAACAGATGGCACTGCAATGGAGAAGGTAATTTTTAATTTGAAATATTTATCACACGATGCTCACTGTCCGGGCGCTCGCCTTTAATTCAATATACTCGAGCAAACTGAGTTCGATCCCCGGTGCCGGCACCAATGAAGTTTTTAACTTTAAGTGCTGACTTATCACGTGCTCCGCGGTGAAGGAAAACATCGTGAGGAAACCTGCATATTTTCGAAATAATAACAAAATATATATATATTTCGAAGATATGTGAAGTCCGCCAATCCGCAGTCGGGCCGCGTGGTGAACTATGCGGGACATGTATAGGTTGTTACTTTACTTCACACGATGGACTTAAATCGTCCGCAACTCAAACAAAATTGAGAGAAAATTTTCTTCGGCTAAGTTACAACAATTTTGATGAACGTGATGGCCACGGAAAATATGTATTAATCAATACATATCTACATGACGTGCCTTGGCAGGTAGAAATGCTAACCAATAGGCTCAGAGCTGCAATTCCAGAACAAAGTCTTATGATACGATGACTTTTTTCTTCGACTTCGCCAAGGCAATTTCGATCATTTTGTCATCATGATCACTTCTTAACACTGAAAAAAAAAGGGAGGCTGTAGTTTCAACGGGCTTTTCAGTGCCATAGGTCACTATAAGCATAAACATATTGCTGTTATATCATATACACGTTATTGAACTAAATAAGTAGATAATAAATCCGTTGATATTCTTCTGTATCAACCTGGGAAGACTAAATCAATCGTCCCGTTAAATATAAACTTAGATGTTAAAAAAAGTTAAAGTAAACTACTAAGTTGTAATGATTCATAACTCTTCCTCTTTTTTGACTTGTACACAACAAGTTACTGTTGTGATGAAATATTGTTAAGTGTTCTGTTATTTTCTTTTATCGTTGTTTTAATTGCTAGTGGCATTTATAAGGCATTAAAATCCTCTTAATTTAAGCTACATCGATTATTGGATGTGACAACGCAGTTCAGAGAGCAGCAAAAGCAAATCATGATTTCCAATAGCACAGATTATGGATCGTACACGACCCTTAATGTGAATATTATTCGTGTAAGTTTAACCGAGCGTATTTTGTTACATTCATTATTTTAAGTATTACATTTTTTTTATCTTTAGTGAAAATTAATTGTGGCTATTTGCGTTTTAAAATTCAAATGTCTATTGCATTGATACATATTGCCAAGTTAATATAGTAATAGTAAAATCACCTAAGCAAGGTGCAAAGCGGCTAATGAAAGACTAGTCTCTAAAATAAATCAATACTAACTTTAATGTTTTATTTACTGGTTTTGATAATTTAAATAAATTAGAATATTATGTTTGGATATTATAGGGTAAAATGTAAGATTTCTGCTGAAATGAGGAGCAATATAATGTACATGTCATTGCTCATATATTTGTTAATATTATTTCAAGTAATATTTATAAAATTTCTAATTACAGGGCGGAAGTGTCCCGAATATTATACCCAACCGAGTTAACGTGGTGATTGATATAAGATTGGCCGTTTCTGCTCGCGTCGATGAAGTGGAATCATTGGTATGATCAGTAAAAGCAGTGAAAAATCAGTATATTGATTTGTTCGGTTATATTCAACAAAATCGACAAACTAGGACGGATAAACCTACCCCCATCTACCTTAAACAAAAAGCATTTCGAAGTAATATGAAAAGAAAATATTATGAATTGTGTTATGCTGCTAAACACTTATCGGCTTAAGCTTTCGATGATGTATCCATTATATGTAATGTATGAAAATCTCAACGCATTTTATTTACATTGTTTTTTTTTTTTTGCGTAGAAGCAACTTTAAACTACTTTTCTTTTTTAAGTGTAGAGATTTTCATTATAAAAAAAAATAATTTTACAAATATTTCAGATTCAGTCGTGGCTTACGCCACTTGGGAGCAACACTGAACTGACCTTCATTCGTAAATTGGATGTATCGGAGCCCACTCGACTGGACGAAACCAATCCATATTGGGTTGCCGTTAAGGACGCTTTACAGGAGATGTAAGTAACCCTATACTTTGAACAATAATTAATTACTGATGAATACACGAGTAATTTACCATCATATGTATCGTTATGCATATATGATATATTTACCTAATATTTCTTTTCTCTTTTATATGCGAAGGTGGCTAGCGAGTTGGTGGTCAACTGACGTTTAGAGATAAAGGTCGCCCATGGATAATATAACATCCGTAGGGTTGCAGATGAGTTGTAAGACGACACGCAAAAGTATAACTCTTGCACTTCACGCTGGTTTTCTGTGAGGTCGTGGTACTGTCTCGGACGCACTTGCCCATTCTTGAAACAGCGAAGACTTGCGTGGCCCTACCACAGTTAATAAATAATAGTAACACAACAGCTACAACGATTAAACAACACCTTGATAGCTCAGTGTCCGGGCGCTCGCTTTTACTAATTTACTTTAATATGCTCCAGCAACCTGATTTAAAATCTCGGTGCCGACACCAAATAAAGTAGTTAATGTTAAGTGCTGATTTATCACGTGCTCAGCGGCAAAATAAAACATTTTAAAGAAATAAATGATATATATTTTCAAAGTTAGAACAAAAAAAATATTTCGAAGATATGTGAAGTCCATTGTTGTGCAGTAGGGTCGCGTGCTGGATTGTGTATGCCCTCTAGATACAGGAGGCCTTATGCCATAAATATATGAGCTGTTACTTACTACAGCTAGAAATCTATTTTTAGCTACCATCAACCATTCCCATCACCCTGATACTGAAATGAACTGTTGTGTAATTAGTAATAAGTTTATAATATGTAGGTATTCTGTTATTGTCCTTGAATTAATGTACCCGCTTTGTGTTAATCTTAGTCTAGTTTGGCATTTAAAATTTTAATTTTTGGTATGTACTTAAATCGGGAAATCGTACCGACTACATACCTATTTGGTTTTATGTCTTACATATTTTTTTTTGTAATTGTTTACATAACTGTGTTTGGTGTTGAAACTAAATAAATATTCATTTATTCATTCATTCATAATTGAGTTAAAAAAACTTAAATATCTTTAGTGTTAAACAGTTCGTTAGAACTAAAGCTATAATGTAATTATTTTCAGGGACATTAGCTTTACACCAAGCATATGTCCAGCTACGTCTGACATGGTATATGTTCGAAATCGAGGTTTTCCTGCAATTGGGTTCGCCTACAGGCCGTACACGGTGTCGCGCATTCACGCAGCCGATGAATATCTGAACATGGACATATTTTTGAAAGGAATAGATGTTTACGTCAACATTTTAAAGAAAGTTGCAAACTTGCTGTAATGTGTAGATGGTGTGAACGCGCTTAATGGCTTAAACGACAAATACAGGGATCGGATTGCTATTGACTCTTTCCCATTTAATTATTAAAAAAACTTGCCTCTGCAGGCTCGCAGTTCGTATTCATGATTAAATTTTTTTAACAACTTTTTCAATTTTCTTTTTTAATTCGAAATCACGCTAATGCTCAAAGTATGCTCAAAGTATGTATGTAAGTTATGGATAACATTATAAATAAATCTTCATGCCTATCTGGGTTTATTAGTAGGGAAATTAAAAAAGTCGGCCAACCATGTATTAGTATATTATTGTATAAATTCTCTCGTGCGTAGTAAATTGGAATATTGTAGCAATGTATGGAGTCCTCATTACATTACTTATTCCGATCGAATAGAGCGTATCCAGAAACGTTTTCTATACCACCTGTGTTACAATAATCGCACATGTCGATTATTTAAGTCTTACCCTGATCGTTTGTCACATTTTGGACTGCTACTCATTTCTTCACGTAGGAAAGCTGCTGACATAATGCTTGTCTATAAATTAATAAATGGCATTATTGATTCCCCAAAGTTATTAGAGCGTTTATATTTTTCGGTTCCGTGTGCAGGTTGTTGTACTCATAATACATATATATAATAAGAAAACGTTTATTTTGCCCCATTGTAGAACGAAACTCGGCCAGAACTTTCCTATGTGTCGCATGCCTTCGTTATGTAATACTATTAAATTTGATATTGACATATTCGTTCTTTGGCCTCTACAAAAAAGAAAGTATCCAGGTTTTTTTCAGTCTTTTAATATCATTAAAGTATTAAATAGTTTACTCATTAATTTAATTATTTAAGTACAATGTTTAATTTATATACAAAAAAATAGTTTTTACTCATTTAATAGTGGTTAGTAGATAAACCTTTGTACCTAATGTTAAATTGAGTTTCATTGTGTATGCTGTGTTTGCTATGTATAGAATGCAATCATTTTTTCTGTGTATATTTCTTTTGTAATCATGCTAGATTGTATTAAGTTAAGCACATCTAATAAACTAAAAAAAAACTTATTCGGGTAAAATCAACTTAAAATTTAACATTGGTAATGTTACTTTTTATATATTACACGTATTTGTAAAAAATCAGGAAGGTATTGATAACTTTCGGTCCTGAAAAAAATCGACAAGAAAAAGTTTCATTTGAACATTTTACTCAAAGAGAATATAACCACTACGTTTACTGATTTTACTTGTCACACAACTCATGATTGGTATTAATATGAAGTTTTAACATAAGTATGTAATAACTCATTGAACTATCGTGGACTAAGCAACTTAATCTAAGAAAGTTTTCAATATGGATATTATGGAATGTCGCCCTATAAACAAATTCCTTACTAAGCAAGCCAGAGCACAAGTTTATCTGGAAGATGTCGACTGAAGAAGGAACAAAGGGGAGAAATAGTTGACGTATCTCAAACAATCATTTTCAAAATCTTCATGTTCACATTTTGGCATAACTAAGATGGTGCTGCGAAATAGCTCTGCTGGGGCCGCTGTAAGCAGTGGGTTGCGAGGTTTGAGATAAAAACAAGGATGGTGAATAGAAAAATTTTGATAAAATTTGGATCCATTCCAAAGTAGCAAAAACAAGTTAGTTATTTTAAAGATCTAAGCATACATAGGGACAGACAGACAGCGAGACGACTTTGTTTTATACTATGTAGTGATTTCTCAAAACCAGTTATTCTACTAATAAAAAATCGTACATATAAATGCAAAGGGTTGACCGACCAAATTGTCTTAATCAGGTTCCCAATTGTCTTCTTCAGGAAAGTGGATTAAACTATTAGTCTGCGTCTTCGTCGTCGGGAAATAGTTTTTATGACAGTTTAGCTTTTCCCCGCAAATGCAATAACAAGTCCAGTTTAAGTAACCGCCTTAGCTTATGATGAATAGTAAGCACTAAGGAGACGTCAAGCTGTATCATCTGTATCAGACTCTATCGACCCGGAAACGTTGCTTAGATTTTAAGTCTGCCTCAAGCAACCAAATCGTGAAATGCTCACCATAATCCATTTGGATATTTTGCGTAATACTCTGAAAAATACACAATTTTTTAATCCATGTATATACAATAAGCATATCAATTACAAAGATTATGTAAGTGTCTTACAGAACCGGTTAAACTTGTATGCCCATATGCAATACAATTAAAAAGCTACTTATAAATTTAAAATCGAAATACCGATTTAAATGTGATTTTGATGATTTTCGAAGACTATTAATTAAAAGATCATAATTGCCTAAAAAATAATACTTAAAAATCGGAATCGAAATGAGCTAATACATAAAATGTGGAATACTGTTATCATAACTTATAATTACTTTAAATTTCATATTGATACCTGGGACAAGGATCTAGGCCTACGGGGTCATGTCGTGCTGAAGTATTTTTCCGAATTAATTACGTTCATGAAATCAACTTGTTATGAATAATGTGTTAACTACTCACCGTTTTTGTCATTAATCGCATAATAAATACGTTCTCGTAATAAAATAAGACAAAATTTTACTCATTAGATTCGTTTAATCATAAACACATTATAACGCGCAGTGTGTATAATATAGTTAAATCTTATATATATATTGAGAAGTTAGCAACTGAGCGAGCGTTTCTAATAAATTAATCAATAAGCAGAATTCGGCGGTCGCTTATAGTTTTTGAGAAAAAAATATTTAAAACTTGTTATTTTCCCTAAGAAAGTCCACCAATTCATTAATTTGACTACCGAACACACCAACACACATATAACGTGATCTAGAACTAGATTATTTAGCTGGCCGACCTCACAGTGGTCGCTGAACTGTTCTGACTACTACTCAAAAGCGTTATCTCAGATTTCAGACAATCAGACCCAATAATTAATGCTATTCAAATACGAACAGAGTTGCGGGTTGCTATTGGACTTGAAGTTAGCACACAGACTATTCAGAATTGCTTACACCAGGCTGGATTACGAGGAAGATTGGCGAGATTTAATTTTAGTCACATTTACATAAGGGTTAAATAATTCAATTTTCGAGTATGTTTTTAATTTCTATAAGATATAAGTGTCTGGTCTGACGCTGTAGTTTTTTTTAGGCCGTTTAGTAAAATTAATTATATTGCCAATAATGGCAAGTTAAGACATAATGTTATTCTGCCGTAATAGTTAGCACAAGAAAAAATAGTATTCTGTGGTTTCTTATAGTGGATTAGGTTAGATTCAAAGTGCGTAACAGACCCGACACAGCGCACCCAATTCCATGTCGTCTTGTGGTCCCCACCGCTACAGTGAATAGAAAACAAAATCTAGGAGGATTGAGCAGGGATCTATGAAGGAAATTTGTTAGTTGTTACTGAAGGAATATTTCTTTCCCCGCTGAGCACGTGATAAGTCTGCAGATAGGGTTTGAACTCAGGTTACTTGATTATTTTGAACTAAAAGCTAGCGCGCGGGCTAACGCCCCTTAAACGTCACCTAAATTTAAAAGTGTACAAAAAGGTGTCTAGCCCATCAAGACATTTTATATTGATGATATCCATTAAATGTAGCATATTAAAAGGACGATTAAAAATATCCCCAAGCATGAAGACAACAATATTTTCCTTATACACGATATCGCTGCAACATAGGTTTCGCCCCCTTACATTAAAACAACGAACAACCTTACAGGATTTTAAAGATATTTCACACCTATCATTAACAATAAAGAGTTTTCCATTAATGCATTCGAACGATACTATTGCGTGCATAAAATTGAAGTAAATTATATGGATGGTGAATAATATCAATATCACTTTGCTGTAAAAGCCTTTAAAAGCAGTCAGCAGCAGATATATACGTACGTATTATAAAGTGCTGTTCCATTGATCTCCACACCTTTGTGCGTTACAAAAAATGGGTCTATACTAGGGAGTTCTAATAGTGATAATAACCGTCTTTTAGACATGGAGCGATCTGAGTGCATTGTGGGTGGATTTTTTGAGCTGGTGTTGCGGATATCGCGCTTAGTCGGTATTGCGCCAGTACGACTCGAGAAAATGGGTTCATCGTGTCTAGCGACGGTATCTCGGGCCTACGACATCGTAGGCCGTTTCTTCATCTTATCAATATGTAGTTAATCCAATTTACCTATTAGATTTACTATTAACATTAAGTTTATTTTTATGTGAATACTTAGCAAGCGAGCTGGCGATTCAATTGTTGGTTGTAAAGTGACTACCGGCATCCATAGTTTGGCAGATACATATATCAACCTATAAAAAAGTGGTTACTTCACGCACCATTAGACACGCGAAAGAATAATACTTCCACATTACGTCGATCACATCTCTGAGAGTGTGGTACTTCTCCGGAAGAGCCTACCTGTTCGAGTAGGACTAGAAGCTGCTGCGCGGTCCTATCACAATTATTCCAGTTATTTTTTAATATACATTCTAGACATAAATAATGTTATATAAAAATGATAAACATTTAAAATCACTCCTAAGTAATTAATTACATTCATTTGAACTTATCTCAAAAAGTGCGTGATTTATACGCAACTCATTTATTTTACGCGCGATCATTCATAACTAACACGCACAAAAGTTCGTGCACAGTAAAATTTAGGTATTTATGAATGACTACCGCATTGTCAACACGTTCTGTTTTTTAGGGAATAGAATGGCATTTTTTTTGGAAAAAAAACTTTGTTTTTTATTTCAATAAATGATTATACTACCGACTCTGTACCTCCTGTGTAAATTTGGGTACTTCTCAAAAAATCTCCCTGTATATACAGCGTGTCTTTACCATCACGACAATAAATGAACACACATATAGATGTATTAAAGATTTACATTCTTTAAACATCACTATTTAACGAGTTATCAAATTTTCCAAAACAAAGAATTTTAGAACATCCTTACGTATAAAACTTTAATGTAAAGTTCATTTGTAAAGGTCACAAAGCATATGAATGG